TCTTCAGTAATTGGTAGACTCGCTCCTCGGTGTAGGAAGAGTAATGCCATAACGTAAGAATTTGCTGCTGCTGCCACCTTGACCACATCTTCAGTAATTGGTAGACTCTCTCCTCGGTATTTGAGGAGTAATCTCATAACTCCATCCGCATACCGTGAAGAATTTGCTGCCACCTTGACCACATCTTCAGTAATTGGTAGACTCTCGCCTCCGTATTGAATAAGTAATTGCAAACTTTTATATCCCCCGGTTCTTGCTGCCGCCTTCACCACATCTTCGGAGAATGGAAAATATCCTGTGGACTGAACAAGCAGGCGTTCAAATATTGATACTGCCCCTGTTGCTATCAAATCTCTCTGTAATATCAGGTGGGCAACCTTGTGCACAGCAGAAACCATGTTGTGTAGGCTTGTTTTCGCCTGTTGAGGACATTCCTGAAACTCTGGTGCTACATCCATGAGTTCTATTGGACTTTGCAACCCAATATAATCTTCTGTACCAGTCCGAGGTATTCTCCACGTAAGAAGAATATCATGATGGAGACCACTTATAGAATGCCATTTCTGAAGCTGCAAGTCGAAACTCCTTTTGTCTGTGTTCTGTGGTGTTACTGCTGTCATGACTATTTCGAAATGGTCTTTGTGCAGTCTGATAATACTCGGGCTTGGAGCCCCTGGTCGAAGGAAGAGAATGTCTCCCTCCTGGATCAGCATTCCAGGATCTCTGAGTACCCAACCTTTTATTCCATGGAAGTGATGGTTCACTGAGCCAGCCGCATGATCGAACTCGACCTTAAAATTGGCTCGATCATCTCCAGGATCTCTCGCCTCAACACGATTAATATAACCCAATATCCATCCTTTGCCTTTTATTACTGCTATATCCATATCAGGCCATGTTTGCACCGAGCACTCCCCTCCCAGAATGTAAGTAGTCACCTGTTTGAGGAGATCATCCCAAGGGAGAGAATAGTTGGGTTTCAAAGCAGGTACTTTCGGGTCATCAGCACACAAGCCCAGCAATGCATACACTCTGTCATGCTGCATGGTGGCATTGTGGCTTCGGTACATACCAATCAATTCACCTATAGAGAGGGCTCCGCGCCAAGCAGGCCGATACTTTGGCCGAAATATTGCGTCTCTCATTATATGGATGACTGGGAGGACATGACTCAGTATGCTAGAAGAAAGCTCTAATCTGCTGAAACCTGCACAAAATGTATAGCCATTCATCTCAGCATGGCCACACATGATAGAGATGCATCGTGCGACACCAACCTCCTGCAGTACCTGTCTTTACTTGTTAAAACTATGTGTCGAGAGTTTAGAAGGCTTTCGTACCCAGATACGGCGAAACCAGTTCCGCTGTAGCAGCATTGCACATGCATAGTCTTCTATCATCATATTTCGGGCAGTGGAAGAAGCATCGGTCAAGAGTTCATCAGAGTCAGTCAAGAAGCCTCCATCAGAGGAGTCATCAGTCATGCCTCCATCAGAGAAGGGCTGATGCTTTAGACTGTCTTCTGCTAGAAAACGAATCTTTTCAAGCGCTTTGTCGCTATTGTCCCTAGCCTCTCCAAGCCAGACAATGACACAATTGGCTTGTGCATAGATTGTCCGCATAAATGGGATCTGCCTTTGCTTTTCATCGTTATCGCTCTGGTTAATGCAAACAGCATCAATCCAAAGTGTTCGCTCAAGCTGGTGAGTTCTCAGATGTAAGAGTGCCGCATGGAGGTTCCGTGTAACAGGAAATATACAGTTATTCAAGATAATTGACTGAGACTCTCTGTCACTGCTCTCTTCGCCCTCATACCATACATAGGAAAGCGCCTCATAGATGTGTTTTCTACTGTCGGTATCTGACAGTTCGTAATCGATGAGTTCGCCTCTAATTTGAGCGTTGCTGTCTTTATGAGGAAAGAGGCGAAGCATGCGGGTCATATCAGACCCTGGGGGAAGCTTTGAATACGTAAACGCGGCCATGGTCGTAGAGGATGTTGTCAAGTTGAAGGACACTCACTATCTCTTGTGGACTGCGCTTCTTTTTTTTTTCACCGAGAGAAAGTGATACTAAGTCTTGTTTTCGAGTGTATACTAGGTGGTTAAGTTCTCGTAACCCCAACCTCTGTGGTGCTGGCAAGAGTGGGGTAAGAGTGCTGACCTCCACTGATGTGGCCTGCTTCGATAGGCTGAGCAGTCATCTCAAATAAATACTCACTGTTATGTATTCGCCCTCCTATAATGTCTATGGAAGGTGCAGTGGAGACCACAGTTCAGCCAGACCTTTCCTATTTTAGGTTAAACTGTATTAACCGTAGGTATATTTGCTATATTATGATCTTTCGCGAACATGAAGTCAAATGGACCTAGATAACTCTGAGGATGGAACGATGGAACGATACCAATATCTCAACTATCAGCTCTCACTCACACATGGTAACTTTCTCAAGAACTCAACTCAGTCGATATAGGTACAATGCCACCGACTCGATGCATTTCGTTTCGTTTCTTACCGTATCTATTCTCGATAGTACATGATCTTGACTGATCTCCTTCGGTCGCAGCAAACATCCCAGATGTCTAAGAGGAGAATGGCTAGGTTTTATTTTAAAATATAATCCGAAAAGAGAAATTGGTAAATAAGATGATCTATTCGTAATTCATGTCTTTCGCGTACAGGTATCATATATGACATGTCTAAGTAAAAAACAACGTGAGACAAGAAAAGGAAATCTAGTCTATATACCATCCAACGCCATCGCAGAACGAGATGAAAACAGAAAAGAAAGAAACAGTTTTCAGCATCACCAATCAAACCATGCGTATAGCCGAGATGGCAGACATAGTTGGCCGCAAACACGAAGGAACAGTTGGCATCTTCGGCATCTTGGGCGGAGCCATCGACTTCAGAGCTCTCCGGTTGATCTTGAAGCCGGTTGTAGGGTAGCTAGCGATACAGTGGACACCACCAGTCAAGCGACGCAGACCGGTGAGCTTGGCCCGGGCGTATCGTTCGACGTCGCGGGTGACTTGGGCAGTCTTGCTGCGGTACTCGGGCTTGGGGATGATAAAGGCCGTGGGCTCGTCGACTTGGGTCTCGGCGTTACGGACTCCAACGACCACCACGCTCGACACAGCGGGGTGTTCAAAGAGGATTGCTTCGATCTCGGCGGCAGACACGTGAGACCCGTAGCCCTCGCCGACTTTCAAGAGTTCCTTGATGCGATCCACGATGTAGACATTGCAGTTCTGGTCCAGGTATCCGTAGTCACCGGTGTGGAACCAGCCTTCGGAGTCGAAGTCGCGGTTCGCCACTTCGTTGTCCTTGTACCCCTTGAACCGGGCGATGGCGTTGCGCACCAGGATCTCGCCCTCTTCGCCGTAGCTGCACTCACGCCCCGTCTCGACGTTGATCACCTTCGCTTGGATGCCGTTGACCAGTGTGCCGCTGGAACCAGGCTGTTTGGAGCACTTGTCTACTTGCATGGCCAGGAGCATGGTCTCGGAAGTGGCCCACTCGAGGGTGAGGTGCACGCCGCCGAACTGGCGCGAGACGGTGCGACGCAGGTTTTCGTGCATGGGTGCACCGGCAGTCAAGAGCCATTTGACGCTCGAGACGTCGATGTGACGAAGATCGGCACGGGCAAGACGGGCAGCAATGGGTGGTGTGATGAAGAGGAAAGTGATGTGGTGACGGGCAACGACGTCGACCGTGGTTTCGTCAAGAGTGTGCTTCATAAGAACGACTGGGATACCCAGGAGAATATTCAGGCCCATGTGAAGCTTTGCGTTGATGAAGAAACCCAGCGAGAGAGGAGAGACCCACACATCCCGATCTGGGTCTGTATCGGCGGGGATGGTCCCCACCGTGGCCTCCATAGTGGCAATGTAGTGGGCGTGGCTGGTGAGGACGGACTTCATGGTGCCTGTTGAACCGCTGGTCCGGTTGATGAAGGCATTGTGCTGGTCGACTTCTTCTGGGGTCTTCAATTCAAAGATGCGGGCATCGGGGTTCCCCAAAGGGAGGAGGGAGTCAACACAAGGCCAGTTCTGGTCGTTGGCATCCAGGGTCATCACTGAGACACAGCCAGCCAGCATGGATGCAACTTCGGTAAGGCGGAGCAGATCTGAATCTGTGATGACCAATTTGGCTTTGGATTGTTCGAGACGAGCGGCCACGTCGGTTTCCGATATCTCCTTCTGCACGGGGATCGGAGCGACCACAGCACCGGCGGCGAGAATTCCATAGTAGGCAATGGGGTATTGGATCTGAGTGTGACTATGAGTATACGATCATCGCACCAGTAGCTCGGTGTAGTACATACCTTGTCCTTGGCAAGGATAGCGACGACATCATTCGGCTCGATATCGTAGTACTCGCGAATGGCATCGGCGAACTGCCTGCTCTTCTGCTCGAGTTCTCCGAGTGTCAAGGTCTCATCGGAGCCATCGACGCGATACAGCACTCGGTCGGTGGAATAATTCCTCCGTCCATGATGGAATATATAGTTGAAGGCGTCGCACGAAGGCACCGGGGGAAGAGGCAACTTGGAGTCGAAAATCATTTTGAAGGATATAAAGAGACACGGATAGGACTAGTTTCAACCAACTCTCAGTTCATATGAACAATATGCTTCAAATCGCTTCCTAGTGATGATTGCCAAAGCTGAAGCTGTTGTTGATGACCTTAAACCCTTGAATCTCGCGAAGTTATATACCATCGATAATCCCATTGAACACCTCGCGATGTACCATCCAACTCCAGCCGTGACCATCGACCACCGCCCCCGGTTCTCCCATCTCACCATGCAACTAAGCCTCTCAACGGTAGGTGCACTGCATCCCAAGACCTATAGCCGCATCACACACGCGGCAAGTGCAGACCGATCCAGGAAAGTCCGAGCATAAGCTGGGCTGATTGGCCCCCATCTGCGATGAGGATCCACGACGTGTGGTTTCTTGGGCCTAGATCTCCAGATCGCACCGGAGATTAATGTCGGTGCAAGGTGTCAAAACGTGTTTCCCCCGGTCATGTCGGGGTTTAGGCGACCCTGCGCCGCCTCAATGATCGATCTTCAGAGAGTATCTGGGACACATGGCTGCCTCGTGGCTCAGTGCTCCGATCGTAATTTGTTACTTAAACGCGCTTCCACGTGTCCATCGTGCTTTGTGCGACCATTGCCGCGTCTAATCGCTATCGCCATTGGACTTGTTCTGCTGACCACAGTCGGAGGACGCTAAGCGACAAGGCGACTATAAAACTACTGAAGCCCTGGTTACGTGCATACAAGCGCTTACCTTCGGCCGACCGTGAAGATGAATTCTATCTATTGCCATATTTAGGATATCTTCATCGCATCCTTATAAACCTACGCACAGATACCCAAACTCAGGCCGAGACAGGATATAATTAAACGAGCCGGAAACTCGAATTGGCTTTGGCAGACCAAGTCTAACATAAGTCGGAACCATGTGTAGCTTGGTAGCGATGATCGTCGCTGAGCACGCAAGGACAACTCATCAACCGTACCAGGGGTACCAGGTGGAGAAGCGAACAGTGCACAGACAGGATTCACGCGGATTCCTTGAATAGGTGCGGCCTAGGATAGCTGAAACATGTACTAGTGGGCCGCTCATGTAGATACGATGTAGTATTCCACCGGGTGGTAATCTTCTGCGAGAGCCAGGGGCCTAGTTTGGGGCTAGCTCGGCCTCGTGGAGACAGGGTTTCGGCGTTGGGGGCGTCCATGCAGGACATTCGTCTCCGTTGCGCTGGGTTGCAGAAGCCCGGCCCAGCTAACGTCGGAGTTTATGTCCTGCGTACATCAACGGTTCGTGGGTCTGCTAAGGGGCCGAAAACAAGACTCTTGCCAATCGTTATTTCCCACGTGTGGATTAGTTTCGGATTGGCATGCTAATCATATCCCTGTAGGACATTGTGGCAGACCAGCCACGGAACATTTTCCTGGACCGACAGTTGCTTGTCATATTATTCCATCCAAACATTGTGGGAAGGCACCATAGGTGCATAATGAACTTAGTATATACCGTGGGGTTCGGCCTGATCCAGGAGCAGTTGCAAGTGTAGTAACATAAAATATCGGAAACCTAGCACATATCCGATATATATCTCCACGTACACACAATCATCCTATAGAGCCCAGTGCGTTTCAACAACGCCTTAACAAGAAGATAGTAGGCGACAAGCAATTCACGGGGATCACATCCATCCTCTATCCCTAGAGCTATTTTTCCCATATGAGCATAAACACCATATCCCACTTCTGGATTTTTCCGTCAGGATTCACATCCTACGATGTGTATTCACCGAATCTCAGTCTTTCTTACAATCCCGTCAGCATCTTTGTCATCTAGTATGTAATAATTACTTCATGCATAAGCGTCAACAACGCGACGTGTGGACAAGGCAAGACAAGAGTGACGGTCAGAGCCCTAGGATCGGGATCCTAGGGTGCCAGCCGCAGATTGCAACCGTCGCTACAACTAGTATTTTGTACTGCTGGTAGTGGGAACAAAAAAGACGCCGTGTGACTGAAACGCCCATACTATTCTTTTTACAAAGGCAAGTGTAAATTAAACGAGTATGTAGGCTTTTCGATGCATATATATAGACAAGACTGCCAGGCACACTATTCAGGTAAGGGCAGGAGGCCGTGGAAAAACCCTCAAGAAATGACGACCAAGGTCCCACCCGTCTTTACCTCGACCATTCCCCTCGGAAAGGCTCGTTCCTATGACCAACAATGTCCGTGGCCAATAGACGCTGTACAGAAGATAAGCTATACCACTTCACTCCGACACACGTGGCGGCCATATGACGCCGAGTTGACCCATGGAGGCAGTTTTACGGACAGGCAGGCAATCCAGGCTAGTCAAAGAGCGGAATGGGCATAGTATGTTTTGTTGGAATCTAGCTAATGGGGTAGTAGATGTATATACTCTGATTATGGAAATTGCGTATCAACAACCCGCCCCAGTCATCGACCTGTGTACAGATGAATTCGTATATATCCATGATGCAAAATTCGAGACAATAGAAGAAAGCTAATAGATTGCGGCCGTAAATCATAAATCACCAAGCGAATCACCCTTCGGGGCAACCTTGGCACACGCGAAAATCAGTCGAGTAATGGGTAATAACGTAGAAGCGTCTAAGGTCCCTGCCTTGTCTTGCTCTAACAACTCGCGCAATGTTCGCGGCACGGGAGGGATGTTGGCCGGCCGGTGCATCGCGTGCTCACGAGCCATGGCCCATTCCTCTTCGTCGCAACAGCGCCACATATGCTCGGTAGCCGGAAGGGGTAGCTGGAGGACGATGTCATCGCCGAGAGGCTCAAAGTATTGTTCGTTGAGTAAACGCGCTCTGGCCCCAAGGATGTTTATCATGTTAACGAAGAAGAAGTTCCGACGGAGAGATTCAGCATATTTCCACCGGTTCCAGTCGTTCTCGTCGCTGTGGTGGGTTAAGAGCTTTTCCTGATGCATCTTGTACAGTCGACGAGCCATCTGGGATTGGTTAACATAGTGTCCCGACGTAGGGATGGAGGGATAGTCTATATAGAATGCTTACCTTGAGCAGAAAGGAGCTGTGCAACTCAGCCGCTCGCTCGTTTTCTTCGCGGCGCTTGTCGTTGACTTCCTTCGGGACTTGAGGGCGGACGATGGCAGCGGGCAAGAAGTTATCTCCAAAGAAGCCCAGAATCTGGTACAGGCAGACGGCATGGACTGCGGCAAGGCATGTTTCAGGGGTGTCGACATGTTTGTGGAAGTTGCGAACGAGCTTGTCGCGTTCTTCGTTAATCATGCGATCTACAAATCCATAGCTCGACTCGACGGAACTGGCATGGGCTGAGACACAGGCCAAGGCGATTCCCATGGGTTCGGCCATACCGCCCATCGAGCAACGGTACAGACGATGGTGCACAAAGGGCGACCAGAACTCGCGCTCTAGGATCATCCCGGGATATTCGCGGAACACAGAGAACAAGTCTCGGTAGGCTTCATCGTAATCTCGCATAGCAAATGGACCGACCTTTGGAACAAAATGGTAGCCAAGGGTCAATCGCGGGGAATGGTCACCGCGAAGCAGTCCTTGCGCCGCATCGTTCTCCTCCCCGCGACTGGAACCATCCCGATAGTGACTTTCTGAAGAAGAGGATGAGAGCGATGGAACATTGTAAGGAGAGTTGGCGTTGTAGGAATTTGCTGTCAAGGCACCTGGCTGGGGAGCCTCTAACGATCCTACTGGCTTGGAGATTTCATGAAGGGGCAAGAAATACGATGATCCTGGGTTGCTTGGCTCGTCCATGGCGCCGGCGAAGGTATTGCCGACAGACATGGGATCAGTCAGCGGTGTGAAGTCGTCGCCCCAAGGCAAGGAACCACCGGGACTAAAAAGAGACCCATCCAACGCCCGCACCATGGAGTCCATATTTGTGGTCCCGAAAGGATTCCACCCTGTTGCAGACATCGGGTCGAAGTGGCTGGGTGTAGGATTGCATTGTTGGCCGGTCGCGGACAGCGGATGAGTGCCATTTGTGCCCGAATGGGGCACGTCGTCCAACGCCATGGCTGAGGAAGTGTCCGTCACCATATTGCGGCCCATGGCGTTGGGAGAATGTGTCGATTGACCCGATCTCGATGAAGCGACCGAGGCCGATGACGTAGGAGGAGTATCTTGAGGATCAGCGATCCGAGGAGGCAAGGACGTCGGGGGGTAGTGGCATGCAGTCCCCATCTGAATGCAGCGAGCGCACGCCGGTCGAGTCATAGAGCAACGGAGCTTCTTTTGCGCGCATGTTTCGCAGGATTTGCGCTTCGACAGACGTTCTTGGCCGGCAGTTTTGATGCACCGTCGCCGGTGTCGGTCGCGGAGGTCGCCTGTGTGCTGTTAGTTATCACCCTGGAAATACAGACAACGCAATGTCTCTGCATCGTTCTACATGTTTTATGCTCTAGAAGGGCTGCATACGTCGGCTGTAAGTCTTGTTGCAAATACCGCATCTAAAATCCCCAGACTGCGGTGCTGCGCCATTGTCTGTCGTCTGAGAGATAGTTGCTGGGCCTTCTGGACTCGAGATGGTTGACATTGTGTCCTCCATCGAATGCACTGCGATCTTAAAATCCATTTGATTCTCTTCTAGAGCCACCATCCAGGGTCCTTGTGTGTCCAGCAACAGTACATGTGCGCGAAGAGCGCAACTCGTCTGGACAGCGGGGGGGGAAGGACAGTATGAGACCAAATGCCAAGCAGTTCGAGAATGGTATGAATTACCGTTGAACTAGGCAGAGAAAAAGGTCGAATCCTCAGTAGAAGGATAAATATGGAAGGGAAACAAAGAAACAATGAAAGTCTACCAGAAAAATACACGAGGGAGCGCGGGGATAAGTATGGGCAGAGAAGATAGCTCGGAATCTAACCATGAGGAGCAGTTGAATCTAGTCATGACCCTAATGGCCTGTTTGACCCCAAGCCTGGTTTGGGATTCCGATCCTTCTTTCGGGCTGACCATAAGCTAATAACTATGATTAATATTATTCTGCACGCAGCAAGACGATCTATCAGGCTAATTTCCTCGTTTTCGTTTTACGAATTTTAATCCGTCATTTATTATGGTTTTCTTTTTCTTTTTTCTCTTTTTTTTTACCGACTTTAGACTTTCAGGTGCCACTCTTGACTTTCGGAGGCGTTTGATGATATGCGCGGCTGATGCTCGCTAACGGACAATCTACTCGCTTGGCTTGAATCCTCGGCGTTGCAGGATGGGAGATCTCGATAAACGAAGACTTTAAATATACTCCTTATCGAGAAAGGACTCAAAACTCGTGGTGCAGAAAGTGTCGGGGCGTCTTTTTCCTTCCTTTCTTCTGTTGTTTGGATCTCAGTTGGCACCCTAATGCATCGTCCATCAATTTGACAGCAAGGGTAAGCGAGGTTACAAACCCACTGCGACATCCCTGCACGTGCTGAACCAGAGTCGTATCACCCTAGACAAAAGTAGGAGAAAACCAGGACGAACTAATACCAGGGGGGACAAGGGGCTGGAAGAATGAGACGTCCGCTATTCGTTGGTTAATCTTCTCTCTCACCTGTCGAATTTGCACGACCATTAGCGCCGGGCTAAAAGACGATAATTTAGCAGCTCGGCAAGCGTTATCTTTTCTCCTCCCAGACGTTGACAAGGAGGCAGCTCCTGGTTGAAGGTTCCAGTGTACCCCCGGTTGGATTGGTCCTAGTGGAGATGCTATCTTCCTCCCTCGCACGTCACACTACTGCCTACCCCGTCGTATTCTCTTCGTATGTCCTGGACCTTTCTGTCGGTCTTGTGTGCGCTGTTCTGGGCCTTTGATAATTAAACTGCTACCTCGGGTTAGGGCCGGGAATCCGAACCAACCCAAACGGGACGCCCCGTGCTATACGCAACCGCCGTAGTACGGTTTCGACGTCCCAGGCATAGTTTGTCCCGCCGATGCATTTTAGGAACGGGATCAGTGCGGGAGCACATCGGGGAGTGATCATTCGTGGATGTACACGGACGGATCATTCCGCATGTCGCTCTGTCCGTTGATCCAGCCGCAGTAGATGAAACCCTAAGACCTAAAGTAGCAGATACTGGAGTAAATCAAGTGGGACGCTCCTACGAGTGGATCCAACAACCAAATGTGATCCACACCTCGGAGAATACCACTTAGGCCGCCAAATACAAGTCGGGACAGGCTGTTTTACCCCAAGGACGCAGTACTTATGTGTCGGCCTGGCCAAAAAACCTGAGGCAACCAGAACCAAGCGATACAAAGCGTGTCAGAGCCTCGTCACTCGTTCTAGTGTATATGTATGATAGGCTGATGCCTGACCCTCGAGTGCGACAGCAATCAAGGATGAGTTAGCCATGGGTTGTAGGAGTTGTACGTGTGAGATCAAAACCGTCAACGTTAGCGTTAAGGCCGCATTGACCGGACCCAACCACTGTGTCTATGGCGGAGTTAAATTTTAGAATTTCTCTCTCGAGCCATCTTCTTTTACCCCCTTTTTCTTTCATTGCATTTTTATTCTCGGTTGTGCAAATTAAAAACCGTCGATGCCAACCAGTCTCAGAGTTTAGAAACTAGCGATTTGGACAGCGTGGCGGGAACACACGCGAGGAAGACCCCTCAGAGCGTAATGAAGATGAGGATCTTGACAGAGCTCGTCGCTGCATAATTCCTTGTCCAGAATAGCTCCGCCTAAGGAGTCCCATTTTTCTGCAGATGAGAAACTCGGAGCGATCTGGCAGGCTAAATTGGTGCCAAGAACTGGGTAAGCGGCGATGCCGTCCACTGCATCTATCGTTATCCCACCCTATACGTCTGGCCCGACATGGCCAATGAGGATCGACATCGTTTTCCAGAAATAGTCATTGCTGGTCCCTACCTAGCGCCGTCTGTTGGTGTCATGCCGAACAACCAGGTTGAACCATCGGCCCATGATACGTCCACTTGTGTTGATGCGCCACAGCACGAGCCAATCCAGCACAGAAGATATACGGCGTACGAGCCTCAAGAGCCATTAGTGGATAAGGACCTGGCGGACCAACCCGCGCAAGGTGGGACTGACGAAATGAAATCGACGTCTAGAATGTTTTGACGTTTTACTGCCATTACTGCCAAGTGGACGTGGATTCGATCGTCAGCGATAAGGCAATACTCGCATTCGGTGCACGTGTCTGCCCCTCCCTCACGTTATCGAGGACGACTGAGAACAACTCACCAGCCTGCTTCGGTTAGTACATGCGAGAGTCTTGGTAGGGCTCACAATATTCCCGAATAGAACCGACAGAGCATGCACATACATGGAGACTGACTACTGCGACGCAAGATCACCAATCAAAGGAATGCTAGCCAATATAGTTGGAAATTATCAAGTGCTTAGCACATAGCGTTACTTCCATTTTCCCACACCAACAGACACCGATAACGTCTTTGCGGCCGACGTGGTGGGTTTATTCGTGAGCCCGTCAGAGCCGCTGGAATGGTCCTCGGAGTTGCTTTCGAGACCAAATTGGTCCGGTCTATGCTTGACTGCATCTAGAAAGATCGGCACTGATCAGGGAAACAGGGCCAATTGGAGGAATGTACTTTCTATCGGGAATATGTGTCATGTCAGCTTAAACAAGATCTAGGTTATGTGGGGATGAAACCCACGGGTCCGGCACATTTACAAGGACCGATGGGGCTCGAGAGTGGTCAAATTTGCTACACGCCCCGGAAATCAAGTCCTGGGATACGTGAGAATAGTGCAATACAAAGATCCAGGGAGTCCGATCGTGGATATACGAAGAAAATCATCTACGCTGCTGATCAGGTGTGTACCAAGCAATGCGGTTGGCCTGGGATGGCGTCGATATGCGCCACATGGCATCAAGCACAAATCAAGCCTCAGGTGATTATCTTACTGGCAGTCATAAAGTCTTGACAAGAACATAAAAGTACCCTCGGCTGAAAGGTTAGCGAAGTTAGCGCAATTACATCGCATCCATGGGGCTATTTGGTGTCTTGGCTGCACTATAGACTGGCGTTGGAGAGGATTTACTGCAAGACCCTTGAAGTCATGTCTCTTACGTTAGCAATACTCTTTTAGCAGAACTGAATCTTTATATAACCTAGTATATTCTATCAAGGGCGTCACTCATGTAACAGTTAGTATAGAGCATACATCGTAGGGAAGTTATGCGGCGCGTATTGCCCACGCTCACAATACGTAGGTAGATCTTTGATTGAGTTACCTGCTAGTTGCCCCGTAAGGTGTAGCAAACGCTATGCAAAGCTAATTATCCACGCGACTTTCAGGGGTCGGACTTAGGGTGCAGTATTGCATCTTGATGCATCTTGCATAGCCCAGTGGAGCCTAATCCTGTCCTGAGACATGGTATCGCATAAATTTGGCCCCGGAGCAAAGCGGGAGACGTGCATACTTAGTGGGACAGCAACGCCCGGTGCAGGAACTATAAAACAAGCAAGCGAATTGGGTCCGGTTCCCGTAGTGAAGGATTCGAAGGATGCACGCTATGTGACGCGTTTTCCACTATGACAAGTTGTCGGAATTGTAGATGGAAATAGAGGGCGGAAGGACTGTATCGCGCTAACTAAAGATGGCATACAAGATGTAGTGCTCTGGCCATGCGAATCGCTGACTTGAAGCAATGAGTTTCAGCTGTTGCTCATTTCGCGGATATTGGATAGGAAACTGTCCAGTTTGAGACTCGGCCATGGCGTGTTTGGGCTTGATTGAGAACTGGACATGGATCCAAATTCTGGATATACGAGGAAACTACTTGTTCTAGCATGGAAAAGATTCCTGTGGATGACTGTAATGTCTATGCATCTAGATTATTTTAATTTTACCTCGACTTTCGGTGTTGTCTGCACTCACCCACCGCACAATAAGCACTATCAAGCTTTGCAGTGGTTGATGACGCGCCACTGAACGCCCGTTGGGATAATACGAGTCCAAAGGACTCTGGTATACATATAGAGGTCTAAATATATTATCGATAGGCGACAGTCACGTCTACAGCCATATTGTTTCTCTACTACATCTCAGAGAGCAACTGTGGTCCCCGACCTCTACAGTCCAAAACGTCGCTATCTTTGCCCATCTTGCTACAATGCTTTGTTATCCACATGACACATGGACGCGCCAGTCCTGGTCTACAAAGCCCTTGGTCGCCCAGGCTGTAGAGTATGATGACCCGAAAGCTTTGGAATCGGTCTTGGGCACCCTATCCACACTGCCGGCGCTTGTCAACCCGTTGAAAATCGAGATTGCCCGTAACAATTTTGCAGCCGCAGCACAAGGCAAGGCGTTTATCATTCAAGGAGGCGACTGTGCAGAGAGCTTCGACGACGTACGCCTGCATGTTATCCAACAGAAGGTCAAACTTTTGCAGGAGCAGTCTCATCTTCTTGTACAAGGACTTAGTCTGCCCATTATAACAGTGGGACGAATTGCTGGCCAGTACGCAAAACCCCGGTCGTCTCCATGGGAGACCTTGGAAGACGGTACAATCACGCACGCTTTCCGTGGGCACAATATTAACGGCCCCAGTCTTGGGGAGAGACGCCCTGACCCATATCGTCTGTTGTTGGGAGACTTTTACTCGAGGACGACCTTGCAAATGATCAAGGATATTCAATGTGCGCCCGCTAACACGGATCCAAACTTCGTTCCGGGGCCAAACCCCCTCCCCTTGACCCCGGAAGAGACAGATGTTGCAGCATCACAGACGCCAACTGGGACTATCTTTACGTCTCATGAAGCGCTTCACCTTCCGTATGAAAGTGCTATGACCCGCGATCGTTACAATACCTCGGCCAGTTTTATTTGGATCGGTGAACGCACGCGGCAGTTGGACGGGGCTCATGTCGAGTACATCCGTGGCCTGCGTAATCCCATTGGGGTAAAGATCGGGCCAAGTATTGAGAGTTCAACACTGATCGCGCTTCTCAATACCATCTGCCCTGAGCCACGTCTGCCAGAGAATATTGGCCGAGTAACCATTATTACGCGGTTCGGCGCCGAGAAGGTCGCCACTGTTCTTCCCCCTCTCATCAAAGCCGTCCAGGAGGCCGGGCACACGCCTGTCTGGATGTGTGACCCTTGCCATGGGAATACGCAGACTACGGAGGCTGGTCTGAAGACACGCCATGTAGGACGCATGCTACGAGAAGCTACCCAGACGTACCAAGCACATCGAGAGAACAACTCTATTCTAGGTGGGTTACACCTCGAACAAACGGGAGAGTTCGTAACCGAGTGCCAAGACGATGAGAGGATAGACAACAAGAGCGCTCTAAGCAGTCACTACCACAGTTTATGCGACCCACGCCTATCCAATGTCCAAGCGTTGAGTCTAGTTCGACAGTTTGTGGATTTCGTGCGCTGCTGGGAAGGGAAAGAAAAGCTTGGATATTAACTGGGGTTACGGCTACTACCCAACGAATACTACTTCACGATCAAACGGTATTGATTTGGGCTTGCTGGCGCTTTGAATCGGTTATTCTTATGCAATAATATTTTTTTTTCACAAGTTTTTACGTCTTACCTACCTTTTCAAAGGTTCCCATTACTCGAAATAAACTTCACCACTGTTGCAATTCTCTGCCGAACTAAGGAATCCAGCACAAAAAAGCATGATGATCACTATAGTAAAATGCCCATTGGCCGGGTCGGGGTTTAGCGATGGTGCCGAAGTTTTCATCAGTTAGATTACCAGTGGCTCAAGCCGCCAGCGGCTCACCAAGATATCCTCAGGACCCATTTTCCTTTTCCGCGAAGCCGACTCCACAACGGCGCATAGACTAAAATATGACGACAGGGGGGCAGACCAATGGACAAAAAGAAAATAGAACAGTGTCTCTGGAGACAAATAAGCAAGCCCAGTCCGAATCTAGGCCAATATCCGTGCCATCAGATCGGTTTTTCGCGAAAATCTCATCCGCAGCCTACCACCTCGGCCTCTCTACATGACCCAAGAATGTCCGAAGAAGACCCCGCCATGCCAGAAAATAGATCTGTTAAATCTCCGTGCGCTCCGTCTCTATGATAGAGTTTCAATTTTCCTCTGATTGATGTGTATGGCACATGCTCGTGGAATCGAGCCTAGTGGATTGTTCGTCTGAATGAAGCCCGCCGAGACCGATGCCGCCAACAGCATGGTGGAACAAGTAGTTGTTTGCCCCAAACTTTCCACGAATGAAGATGAGGCGATGCGCGCGTTCGATGACGGGCGGGACCTTGACGTTCGAGATATAGATGATGCTACCAATGCCAGGTTGCTGAAAACTATTGATAAGAACTTGTTGCCAGTGTGTTAAATCCCCTGAACTTGGCTTTGTGAGTGTTGCCCAGGTTTAATCGTTTATATCGTAGCTATTATGTTTGATCTACGGTCTCAACTTTGTGGACAGTAAGACTGGCTCCTTTATTTCTCTTCTCCCCCTAGGTTTCTCGGTAGACGTATCGATATGCTGATGCGTACTGTGGATAGAAACCACGCTGTCCTATGCTAGCGTGATGGGTCTGCAAGCAGACCTCAGCCTCAAAGGCAACCAATACCAATGGCTGGGGAGTATATTCTACTTTGGTAGGTCTGAGCTTTAGTGTCGGTGACCCTCGTTGCTTTTTGCTCATGCTATCAGGTTACATACTCGTCGAGTATCCTAGTAGTTATCTCATGCAGCGATTCCCACTGGCAAAATACTCATCAATCAATATAATCCTGTGGGGAGTGACGCTTACCTGCTTCGCTGCCGTAAACAACTTTGCCGGTGCTGCCACGGTCCGTTTTTTTCTAGGGGTCTTCGAGGCAGTAGTAACGCCAGGATTTACTACCTTAACTTCGCGATGGTACACGAAGCATGAGCAAGCCGGCCGCGTCGGCTTCTGGTTCAGCTGCAACGGGGTTGCAAATGTCGTCGGGGGCCTAATCGCATACGGGATATCCCGAGGCGTAGAGCAGCACGGGGCTTCCATCCAGCCATGGCGGATTCTCTTCTTAAGCTTCGGGCTATTCACAATAGCCATCGGCGTCGCATTTCTATATTATATACCAGACAACCAGTGGAACTGTCGGTTCCTGAGCCCGGCAGACCGTGTCTTAGCGGTGCAACGCATCCGTGGCAACCAGCAGGGAATCGGGAACAGACATTTCAAAATGTACCAGTTCAAAGAGGCGCTGACGGACCCCATAACCTGGGCGTTTGCGTTCTTCGGAATTGCCGTGAATATCCCGTTTGGAGGTATCACAACGTTCTTCTCGCAGATCATCCGCAATTCCGGGTATACTTCACAGCAGAGTTTGCTCTACGCGACGCCCGGGGGGGCTTTCCAGACCATCGTTGTGATTTTAAACGGGATTATCAGCGACCGCTTACAGCAACGCATCTATGTCAGTTTTGTTGGCATGATCATTGGTCTTCTGGGCGCCATTCTCCTGGCCGCGTTGCCGTTGAGTAACAGTCCGGGTCGATTGGCCGCTTACTTTCTCACGCAAGCCAGCCCGACTGCTTTTATCGCGTTGTTATCGTTTATCTCGACAAACGTAGCGGGTGCAACCAAGAAGACTACCGTGGGAGCCATTTATATGGTCGCCTATTGCGTTGGAAACATCATAGGTAAGGATTCCACACAGGCAGAACGCCTTGTGCATAACGATATATTGACGCGACACATAGGGCCTCAGACCTTCCAGCAAAGTGACGCGCCGCGGTATATCCCGGCCGAGATTGGCATTTGCTGCTGCTGGGCAGCATGTCTGCTGGATTTGTTGTTGATTAGATATCTATATTGTAAACGGAACGCCGAAAAAGCAAGGATTCGGTCCGCACCTGGATATGAAAAATCAGAAAAGTCAGAATTCAAGGACTTGACTGATCGTGAAAATCCAGAGTTGGTGTATGTGGTCTAGTTGCTGCAGTCTATAGAATGAAACGAAATATACATACTACATGTGAATGCTCGGCGTGCATTGGTTAGCGAATAGCTGCACTTCGGGGGGAGCAATGTCCTCTGCACAAAATTACGTTATGTAGCTCTTATTTCCTTATTTCCTCGGCCTATAGAGCCAAGTACCGCCATTAAAGCTTGGGCGAACTTGTGCCGAGTGTCTTCGGCGGAAGTGGGATGGATGTGGATCTGTGCCCTCGGAGGTGTGTTGTCTTGCGGTCAAAGTGCTCCACGAAGGAAGATCATAGCAGAGGTATGCTATGAAAATCATTATTTGCTTTATTTCCCCCTTCATTTGCGATGCCATTCAAGGCAGTAATTATATCTGTAACTAGATTTACAAGTTATTCAATATTCTCCAATGTGTTCATCACAAGCCCTGTTTGTATACGTTGTCTTGCGGTCGTAGTATCAATAAACACTGTTCTCCGAGCGACTAGGCAGTAAAACCTCAACTAGAACGATCATACTTTTATAAGATTGCAGATCGAGGGTCTGCCAAATCTTTCCGTAAATGTCCGGACTGCAAGTCATCCGTTAAACGACGAGCCCCCTGCGGTTTAATTGTCCACCAATTTCCTAGTCGGACTAAGGTGGACATGGCAGGATAGCCATGTGTCCATGTGCCCCGAGCGTCTAAATCCACAGTGTCGGATCTGAGCTAATTGAAGTTTATTCCGCGTGGCTACCACTTTACTGTTAGGGCTCCAATATCATAAGATTTCGGTGCGGAGTGGAGGGTCTGTGCCCTGTCCATCAACCTCTGCATATGCATCATGGCCGGAGGGCATGGGCAACACTTCGGATGTCCGTACGAGTCTTCGCGGAGCAAGGTGTTGATGATGGACATCAGGAGGAAAATGGACTTCACATACAACCTCATGGATGGTTATAAACACACTCAATGTCTTGAGCAATGTAAATATCATCAACAGCAACAGCCTCACAACCGCAATAAGAATAGCTACGAGAGCAAGACAAGCAACAAACGTTACTATACTCTCTATCATATCAATTCACCGCGCAGATTAACACTATCCATCACTCACAATGTCTACTCCGATCTTTCCCGTCATCGACTACTCTCGCATTGTCTCCTCTAACCCTATAATCGCAACCCAAGAGAAAGACAAGCTGTTCCAATCTTTCAAAGAAGTCGGCTTCATCTACCTCAAGGGCTTCAACTTTCCCCCAGAGTTCATCGACACCCTCTTCTCTCATCTCCACAAGCTCTTCTCCCTCCCAGAGGAACAGAAGCTGGCCATCGAGGGCGGCGAGAAGCAAGCCTTCCGTGGCTGGTTCGCTCCCGCTCGTACAGCGAAGAACCCCGAGAAAGCCGACCAGAAGGAAGCATTCGGTTTGGGCAATGACAAGGATGAAACGAGGCCAAACCGCTGGCCGACCAACTGGCCTGAGTTTCGCCGCGATTTCACAACCTTCTACGAGGAGTGCTACAAGATGCATCTTGAGTTGCTGCGCGCATTGACGGAGAAAGTGGGCCTTGACCGCGAGTCTCTCATTCCTTCCGTCAAGGCCAAGGACTGCTACAGTGCCTTGCTACACTACTACGAGACTTCATTGGAGAGCTTCGATACTCGCGTGCGCTCTGCGCCGCACACGGACTTCGGAACCCTGACTTTGCTATTCAATGATAGCAACGGCGGCTTGCAAGTAAAGGACAAGGAAGGACAATGGATCGATGCGCCTCCTATGCGCGGCCATGCCATCGTTAATGGTAAGCTACCACTACCCTTTTCTAATCTACTCCATGGTCAAGACGCTAACGGGAGAAATAGTTGGAGACCTCCTCTCTCGGTGGTTCAACGGTCAATTAAAATCCACTCAGCACCGGGTCGTTCAGCCTCCAGCGGAAACCCGGGAAACGGCAAATGGTACAACCAGTGTCATCCCTTCCAGATATGCCATTGCCTGGTTCGGCCACCCCAACCGTGACGCAGTCGTCGAGCCTCTGAAGGAATGTGTTACCCCTGAGTGGACACAGAAGTTCAAGGCAGTAGTCGCGGGGAAGCATGTCAAGGAGCGCATGGCTCGACTATTGGAGCACGGCTATCTGCCTGAAAAGTGGACCGATGACATGCACCGCAAGCCTATTGCCGTTTAACTTTTTGTTCTTGTTTTGGTTGGCGCTTGCTTGCATCCTTCGGAGTTCGGGTCTCACTTTTAATAATGATGTTACGATACCCTCTTAATATTAACTGTTCTGATATTCATGAAACATGGTTCCTCCATATATCATCATAGTCTAAAACGATCGTGAACTAAGCACATGACTATTCCACTAAGCGAATCCCTCTGGAGAATATATAAAAAACCTCCTTTGCATTAAATCCCATGATCAAGATACTCGGGCTATGCCTCGTAGTCTTGGTCAGTTCGATTTTAGTTTCCGCCCAGACAAATAGAGTTATTCATGCACGTCTTATGCTCTTTTCTGTAACTCTTTCAAACTACGAGCACTAGCCCATTTACCCAAACCACCCACGACCCCCCCAATATATGCCATTCTCCCAAGGTCGGTATGTCTTCCTCCTCTGCCCAGTCCTTAACATCTCTTATTCTTGCAAGATTACGTCAAGTTAAAGGCCATCGGCCGGTATCCAAAGGCCCTTGCAGTTTGCATTCGTTGTACGTCAGAGGCTACCGCATACATACACCAGGCTTCCAATACTCGTGTTCATTTTGAGTTACTAACGGGTATATGAAGGAAACTTGATCAGATCAAACCCGTTAGTCTATTGACCGCTTTGGTATCGTGCAAGAAAGGCTGACGCGAGCTAGTTGAACGCTCTGATACTGACTATATTAGTAGCCGGTTCCGCGAACGAGGAATAATACATGACATTCCACGACACCGTAACATTTTACCCTGAAATCGGATTCCCACTACACCAGCTCTATCTCAACTCAGACGTTGGAGATGGCAGCCGTTAGTCCGAGCAATATACTTCCAATCACTTTACCAGCTGCCTAAAACAGAACAGATCATCGATGCAGTGAGGGCTGCAGAATACCGAATCGGGGTATGGCCAAAAGTCAGTATTGGTGAGCCCGTTAATCAACCCTGGTTATAATACATGCTGCTATTCAATTGGCCATACCGGGACTAATCGGAGCAGGCACAATTCCTGCAGATACGAATGCAGTACAGCGTACGCAGTGTATTATCGTGTCTATTTCTCAGATGGCTTTTTGCCGACTATCCTAGAGCCTGTCAGCGCCCCCGCGACCCATGTCAATAGCCGTGTCACTCCAAACCGCATAAGGCAACCTTCACGCCGCAACTTCCTGACTTACTGCAGAGTGAGATTATGTGTACGTACACCGCAACTTCCGCTCCCCCCCTCCCCCAGTCCAACCAAGCTATACTACGCTAGATAATACCCAGCAACACGGGGCTTGGCCGTCGGAGAGCCTCAAGTGACAGAAAATTTATCCAGGAAACTAGCCTACCAGACAGCCCCACCGCACTGCATTAGTAGATGGCCTAACGGCGTTAACCAGCTTTCCTCACGGCGCATGATCAGATAATTCCAAGGAACGAGTCTAGCATCCTGTCGCAATTTCTGCTTGGAGTAATATCGGCTAAAGATTAATGAGGACGGTCTCCATAGGTGGGGTTTTGTGTTGATGAGCTGACTGGATATCTGGACTAAAATACTTGGTTCAGGCCATTTCATGAATCATGGAGAATTGTGGGTCAGGGGGTGGGGGGGTTATTGATCTATCTGGGTTTTACTGGTGGTTGGCTATCTAGGTAGAAGGGGAGAGACATCTAAGGGGAGCCTGGGCTTCAGAGGGCTAGCTGGGATTCAATCTGGATGGCGTGAATTCGTGACTGATATGTGGTTCGGCTGGACTTCAAACGGTTGAGCGAAGACTAATACAGGGCATCCTTGTGCAGCCAGATTGGCAATCTTTAGTCCCGTGGTTGAATTGGTTAGGTTTAATCGATCGTATTGAGTCTGTGATGGATATATACACAGAAACTGAAACATCCCTTTTAGATTCCTAGATTTCATTTGCAGTCCCAGTTATCCATAACTAGGCTTCAGTGATTTTGTCGAGTAATCTCTTCCTCCATAATGCCCTTTTCAAATGTATCCACATCTATCCCGTTAGATCTGATCTCTCCAGCTATATAAACACAGCCCTTCTTTTCTTCGTACGATATAGTATACGTGTACAAGCCCACTGGGACTGTCATACAGGATACATCCAAGCCCTAGTAGGGATTAGAAATTGGGGGACCTTCATCTTTCATATTATAATAATGCTCAAAGTATCTGAATGTCATAATAAAGACTGTTTGTAACAGACAAAACGACAACTGAACGAAACGTCCATGTTCCATTGCCTGGTACAAAGGTCCAGAAAGTCCGACGGCAATATAACTTCAATCATGGCCTCTATAGGTTTATATCCCTGTATTAACACTCAACCCTTGATTGTTTCTTACATGGCCATGGCTATGTTCCACTGCAGTTGATACGGGGCCCTAAATCCCGACACCATTGAACCCAATCACATCCGCAGGCCTTCTTTCGAGCATCTCTTTGTCTAAATGTCTTTACCAAAGCCCAATGGATGAAAAGAAACAATCAGTCTAAGGCCGTCAATCCAGGAGAAAGAGCGCAAGATTTTATTGAGCCACTATCCTTTGTTATCTGTGATGGCTTAAGATGTCGCACGGCTCACATCGATTGGTATTTCACATCTAATCCCACCATCTTTCTTCTTCGACATTAGCCTTGTGGTAACAGCATCCAAATCTATGAGTAGCAAACTACCTATATTATTCAGCATGTTCAAAAGATCAGCAACCCCCTTATGGCCAGAGGTCACCTCCGAGAACCTCACGCAACGAGCACTCAAGAGACTCAAGCAAGAATGTGAATCCCCAATTTTGAATTCACTAACTACACACCCTCCGATATCTACCATGGACGAGCATAACTTAAAACACTTCGCACGGCACGGTGGTCCTGATCTCACTGATATCCGAGGAGTAAGTATCCTTCCCATACATCAACTAGGAATCATACCCACCAACAGTAATTTGAATAGTATTGTTCACCAACGAATACGAAGAGCGAGTCTATTAATGGGACAACTGGGTCCCAAGATCAGGGAGACCCTGAGCCGATATATCGTCCTAACGGACAATGTTCATATTTTGGTGCTACAAATGTTTTTCACCGAGTTTAATGGGTGAGCCTCTACGCTTTGATCGGCATATCGCCGGACGAAATCTCATGGAATTTCCTGCATTTGGACAATGTATAGCACGATAGTGATATCTATATGAAAATATTAGTTACAGGCCAGGGACTACTCTATTCATCTGGTTAGCTAGAACAGTGTTACTAGGCGATCTAGTCACTAGACGGCAGTCATCCGAAAGACCTCGCCAACCCGATAGTTCCCAGGCCTATTTCTGAAGGATTTGATTAAAAGCATATAGCTGCACCTTTGCTTATCTTTGCGTAGAGGAACGTCGTGCATCTTTCAACCCGATGACCTGATTGAAAGTTCATGCTCCTCACTTCTTGTGCCCTTGTTTTCCTTCAATGGCTTCTGGATGTTAAGAGAGCCGTCAGATTTACATACTCGGTGAACACATAAATTCATCTCACTACCTCTTTAAATTCTTCGGACCTTGCATAAGATGAGAGAGAACCAATGTTATGATATTTCCGATCACAAATTCCACGACGTAACTGACGTAATAATGAGGGCTATCGTTATGGGCACGATACCATACCACGAAAAGACCTGGAGGTATTGCTTCGAAGGATCTGAGTCTCCTCGAGGGCTATGTTCAATCCTCTTAGATTATAGCCAAGGATACGTTAGTGGTAAAACGGTTCATGAGTCCAGGGAGATGCTGTGGCTGCATCAATATGACCAAGTAGACATCACTAAAACCGCCACAACAGGAGGGCGTGTGTTGTAGTTGGTAATGCAGCTTGCTCCTCTTGGCTAGGACAACCGTGTGATAGCTGAATGATGGACATTCCTGTTAAGCTATGTTCAGATCTTGAATATATAATGCCATGGGAGGTGTATTGGAAGGCTCCCATTGAAGTTGTGTCTTCCGAATCTTACACTCGGCCACTGAGCGTGTAGTAATATCAGGACAGGAAGGTCTTCGAGCCACATTCCAGTTTAACAGCAGTTACTGCATCAGTAGGATCTGAAGGCAAGGGCACAGTGACGGTGGCTGATAAACCCATAGTAGTGGTTAAGCACGATAGCTGAAACAAGTAATAAATGCGTATCGAGATATTGAGGTGCATAATAATGTGCTACCTGGGGTGTAAGTTATATGTGGTTTTCCAATCTGTCGTAATCACATCGCTTCGGGCTGCAGTATGATACGAATGATGTCCATGTTAGAGCGGCACGAGGCAGTATAGACTCTGAATATCGGCCGGTGCTTGGACACGTATAGTTATATAGGCTCACAGCCTTGACCATTCCATTTAGTCAGTTATTTTCGAATGGTGTCGGATGATTTGTTATTCAACAGACCCACTGACCTGGAGTCACACTGAGTAGAGTTACACGAAAGTTCCGTGCTATACATAGAAGGCTCCCATGATCAGTACTTAAGGGCGATCCAATCTCGGCTGTACGTCAGCTTAATACGTGAGTAAGGCTGAAAGAAAAGTATCCGCCAGCAACCACTTCAGAGCCATAGTATACAATTTACAACTATGATCAAAGTGTGTGGCACACCATTCGAGGTCAGTTTCATCCTCCGCTGTCCTCACCTAGCTTCCTTTTCTTACTAACGCCACTTGCAGCTTTGGTGAACATGCTATCCAATTTCTGCTGCCCTTTCTCGTGTTTCTCAACTTTTACTTTCTCCGATGCCAGTACCGGAGACAGGCCTTGAACACGCTGCTTAGCATCCTCTAGCAGTTCGACTTCTCGGTCACGTTGTTTCTTGACTGTGGGAATGGACCATGAGTTGGACGAGGCGGACTTGTAAGCCAACTTATATTTGGACCCAGTCAGGTTTGTCTCATATGTGTTGGCATCAACCTTCTTGACAAACTAAAAGGAGTGAGATATGACTGGGACTCGTGACTCCGGGCCGGCATGCTATTGGCTTCTAAATCAGGGAAAGTACAAACGTACCTGGTGTGCGACAATGAGCCAGTGATACTCCGTCCCGACAGGAGCGCCACTACCCTCCGGTGCCTTCCTCGCTCGTCTCTTATTGGTCTGATAATCGATCCGCCATAAATCTGGTTCCTCCTTCGTTTCTTTCCACACGCCTTGATCATAATTCCAAGTATGCGATCCCCCCACCGCCATGCCTGAGTAGACCTGTCCTTTGTATGATTTGAGCATGTTGTATCCTCCCGCCCCGACGGCATATTCAGGCCTTGCAGGTTGGACGGCGTTTCCCGATTCTTCCGGCATCTCTTCATCTTCGTCCAGAATCATGGGTGGCTCATCGTGGCGAGGGTTTCGTGGACTACCCATCGAGCCTCTTTCCTGTACTTCTGGCACCTCAACCGTGACACTCTCATCCGCCACTGGGGCGTTCTTTTCGGAGAGTGGAGGGGATGGTGGTCTCTGAGTCGTGGAAGAGGTCTTCCTTACGCGTTTTGGAGGCATATTGACTTAATTTAACAGATGGTGTATGGTCAGGCAGAAGGATGAATGGGTGTTTAGAGTGGAGAGTGGTACGAATATGATGTGGTGGCATGACGTCATGGCGGTCACCAGCAGTTGGAATTCTTTATCGCGGTTTAAGTACATCGAGTTCTATTTTTAAAAACTCTATAATTCTTTGGCACATATTTTACCCCATACATTCATGGCTTCCTGTGGCTGTACGCGTTAACACCCTTGCGCTATGATATCACATCGTTGTGCAGTAAGGACCATCATTTGCAGGGCACTATTTGGAGGTGTGCATCCATGCATCCTCATGGCCAGCGACATATGAGAGAGACCTGGGGTAACGGTGCTCGTGACACCCGTACCGAGTGTCCTGGGGAGGGAATGAAGATATTTTTATTTTGACTCAGTATGGCAGGTTGACGGTGAGATCTCTCACATCTCACACGCCCAGTGAAGTGGAGTACAATCCATAGATTTTCCCTCCGACGTCATTTCTGCCCGTGAACCTTCGATGTGGAGAAAGAAATTTTTTTTAAACTCGGTCAGAGTTATTGGCTAATGTTTCGGGAGCCAACCACGATCTGCGTTTGGAGGAAATTCGGGGTTCTTACGGTAGGGACTTCCGAAAAATAATCCAATCCCGCGGATGCGAAGACCCTAGCATTACCGAATCGGGTAATTTAGATGGAAGTGCAGAAGACTTGCAAGAGCCAAAATTGAAAAACAACCCCACGCAAGCCCTCCACTTCTTCTTGCTTGTGACCGACGAACCATTGTCGGGGCCCAACCTCCCTTGAACTCCGTCTCAGGTTCTCCATCAATCAGAGCGATCGACGGTTTATCTTTTCAGAAGGCATATCGCGGATGTGGCATCTGCCCTTGCGCACACGCACACGCACACACAAGGCGCCTCGTCCGCCACCATGACCGGGGGATCCATACTGGAAGAAAATCCAGGGAACCCTTGGCGAATAATGTGCAAGTTTGTCTTTCTCCCAGGACCGAAACTCTGTCGTTACCCGAAACATCAAAAGGGGGGCATGATAAATACAGCCATAACCCCCCGGGGAGTTGACCTCTTCCCTCCAGAAATTCCTCATAGTCATGTTTGTTATTTCCAGAGGTCACCCAATCCCCCTGCATCACGGATATCACTACTCTATTCGAACCCCCTGAGCACATAATAGTGCCGCGGCTAACACATTCGCTTGAATCCTGGTCTCACCACATACGACCCCTCCGTTCATTCTTCACTTCCTCGGTCCAGTCTCTGCTTCTGCGGAAATAGTCTCCGTTTCTGCTTCGTCACCGATGCCGATGAGCTCCCCTTTTTAAAATCTCACGATCTCCCTCGTTGACATTGTAAAAATCTCCGCTCGTTCTACTTTTTTCCCACTCGTGACCGGCTGGAGTCACGAGTCTACCTTCCCATCCCGTGACCGACATTCAATCACGGGCTGTCAGATTTTACTTCCTCAAGGATTCCCCGAAACTTAATTCCAGCGTGTCATAAACATGCGCGACATGCCGTCTAGGTTTATCGAAATCCTCGACCCCGAAGATTCTCATTTCCGTATGTCTGATGCCGACGTCCGGCTGGAAGATGTCCTCGCGGACCAAGAGGCTATCGCCAGCCGGCCCCGTTCCTCCACGCAATCATCGACCAAAGCGGGTCTCGATAAAGACCGGATATATCGGGAGGGTCCATCGTCGCCACAACAGCGGTGGAAGCGCTTGAGCACGATCCTGGTCCCTGCGAGACGGGGCTCCAGCTAGACCGAGGATTTCTCCTACCATATTCACACTAGACGTGATCATCACCACCGGAATATACAATATTCCCGACGGGCATTGAATATCCATGGCACGCGCCATGGTTTTTCCTTGTCAAGCGAGACTCAAATTAGAAATTGATCTGTCCATGATTATGGTATGCAGATACGACCGAACGATTACAGGCGCTTATGGCATATGGTATATACGAGTGATTCTGGTTTAGCATACAATTTGGTTGCGTTTCCATTCCCGATCCACAGTAGCGGATCTCTTTTTCACAGCCCTTGATACCCCCTATGCAGTGTCAGCACATCGTCTTTTGACTGATTTTCTCTTTACTTCTCAACACATATATTATGAGTGTATGTCGGTTGAGTACAATTCCTTCACACTCTGCTCGCCCCTTATGAACGTATGATTGCAATGCCTTGAAAGAGCCTTTATGATGACTTGCAGGATACACGACACGTCATTGTCCCATACGATTAGGATGAAAAGCATACACCAAAGACTTGTATTATGTATTAGAATATTATGACTACTTTTTCTTTACCCTTTTTGTTTCCAAAGCACAACGTGGTCTCGATAGAAAAAAAAAAATATACATGCAAAGGGCGGTAGAGCGGACCTTCTCCGGCGTTAGTTAGTCGAAAGTTTTTATGTAACTGGTCACGATTAAAGTTCAATAACACGCCCGAAACCCTGAAAGACCAAAGTCACCGGACGATACTTACAGTAGGTCAATTACCAATGCCCCCAATGGGCTTCCATGTCTCCAGCTTCGCCGAACTGTTAGGTTACATATGTGAGTCACCCCACTCCCTTCAAGCAGGGTGAGACGGGACTGGCCATACCTTACCTAGGGCAGAATAGCTGATCTACAACGGCATCCACCATTCAGAGGATTGTGTGGACGGACAATTGCCATTATCCTCCTTTCAGCAGCTGCTGTTCAGAGCATAGGCCTCTATTCCTGATCGCTAAGCTATGCTTTGGCTCATGATTCACGGGGTCTGAACTAATATCTCGTTGCTATTGGTGCTACTTGTACCAGAGGCTAGCTGACGGTGCAGAGCCCAGCTCCACCCATTGCGAACAGTCTAGCTGTTCTCTTTTTTGGGGCTTCTTGCTGAAATCGATCTTCTCCAACTGATCGCCCTTTGAGTCTGTGATGGTCGGATATCCCATCCATGTATGTACACGCTGCTCCGTATATACGTAGCCAATTTCTTTGCGCCCATAGCAATATTTTATTACCTTCACTACTGAAGCACGCACAAGCCTTCTCACTATGCCATATAAGGTGTTTCAAAACTCATGGAGAGTTGAGTATTTGCTATGCAACGAGAATCATGATATTTTCATCGGACTGCATTACACTAGTGAACACGGACCCTGCATATAGCAATAACACGCGTGGCTGGCTCCTCAATATCAGCAGAAAAGCCCAGCAAACATGAAGAGCTGATGTGAGAGCAGCCTGGAAGGGACTGCGCCTCCAGCAAGTTTGCTTTCATACTTCCTAAGCAGGTTAGTCCCAATTGAATTCCAAGTCCGTCCTAGCGCCAAGCTTCGTGTCTGCCTCAGGCACCCACAGTGGCTGAAGCTCCAGAAAATTTCCCCTCTTTCGCCGCGCATTTCCCCGACTACTTTTTTTTTTTCCTTTCTCACATCGGAGATAAGAACGATATTTGCTTGCAAGTATCTCATTCGTTAAGGGTCTATCTTTGCGCTCAGGTTACCAGACTTGCTTGCGTATATCCTAGGTAGGACATTTGCCCTTTCTGCTGAATTAATTTTGCGCCCTCCGCAGGGCTCTGACGCGGACCTGAAGTCATTGTCCTTGTCCAAAGGCACGGATTGACTCACGTGTAGAGATGACTCTGCTCTCTGCTCTTTACTGCCCTTGCCTACTCTCTCTTAGACCGTATTAATGGTTGGGAAAACCTGCATCGCCATTTCCACTAACCGATAATTGACAATTAGGAGTCGCGCATTTGACTATATCACTTTTTTTTCCGTTAACCCCTCATCTCCCTTGTCGCACGACAAAAACACACATTCGCCATGTCTGCCGAACAGAACGTCGCCAACACCGAGGCCGAGAAGGATGTCCAGAACGTCCTGGCCGAATTGAAGGGTGACGCCGAGACCAACGGCCCTGAGAAGGAGGCCTCCGCCGAAGACACAGAGGAAGCCCGCATCGTCGCGGCCGCCGCCCAGCTGGGTGAGAAGTCCGCGAAGGCTGAGGAGGACAAGGAGCGCGAGAACCGTGGTCGTGGACCCCGTCGCAACAACGCCAAGTTCGACCCTTCCTCTCAGAAGGAGACCGACGACCCTGTCGAGATCCGCAAGCAGGTTGAGTTCTACTTCTCCGACTCCAACCTCCCCATGGACAAGTTCCTGCTCTCCAAGGTCGGTGGTAGCCAGAACCGCTCCGTTCCTCTGGAACTCCTGCACTCTTTCAAGCGCATGCGTCGCTTCCAGCCTTTCAGCGCGATTGTTGAGGCCCTGAAGACTTCCGAGGTTCTGGACCTGGTCGACAATGAGACCGCCATCCGCCGCAAGACTCCTCTCCCCGAGAACGTTACCGAGACACACGACCCCAGTGTTGTTAAGGTGTTCGAGGATAAAGCTATGAACCGCAGTGTCTACGCTAAGGGATTCGGTGAGGAGGGTCCCACCACCCAGCTGGAGATTGAGGAGTTCTTCGCCCCCCACGGCCCCGTCAACGCCATCCGTCTCCGTCGTGCCAACGACAAGACCTTCAAGGGTAGCGTCTTCGTTGAGTTTGAGTCCGAGGAGAAGCAGAAGGCGTTCCTCGCCCTGGCACCCAAGCCCCAGTGGAAGGGCCAGGATCTGATCATCAAGAGCAAGAGGGAGTACTGTGACGAGAAGGTGCGCGACATTGAGGCCGGCCGCATCAAGCCCAGCGGTCACCGCCCCCGCGGCCGTGGTGGTTTCCGTGGCCGTGGCCGTGGCCGCCAGAGCGACAACCGTGACTGGAGGGAGCGTCGCGCCGAGGACCAGAAGCGCGGTTTCAGCGGCGACAAGAAGGATGAGCCTAAGGAGCCTCGCGAGATCCAGAAGGACGCTCGGTAAGCATCCATTCCTACCGCAATGAGAAAATACCAATCAACTAACCGAGAACAGCGGCGTCCCCGTCGTACAGAGCACCGCCGACGCTGGCCAGAAGCGCGCCCGCGAGGACGAAGCCAACGGCGACCACCCGGCCAAGAAGGTCGACGCAAAGGAGTAATGATATGCGACTGATCTGTGTTTTTTTCAATAGAGACTGTTTCACATTGACGGGATGTAAAGCATAAGTATCATACTGACTTGGCTGGGCTTTTACTTTTTCTTTTTTTCTTTTCAATTTTGCTGGCACTTGGAATTTAAAAAAGGATTCTGACGTGGGACTTTATAATGGCGTTGTGTCAAGTCTATTATTGCTGTTCATAAGACAAACAAAAGTTCCATATTCCTTCCATCTCCATAATCAAGGTATAAGGATACGACGTAGAATCGGAAAGGGAATCACTCGTCAAACTCCAGATCATAAGCCAAGGTATCCTCACACAACTCCTCCCTCAACTTATGGACCCTATACATACCACCAAGGTCAGCAACCACGCATACACCCATACTCAACCACCCCCACAACCAACCAACCCCTCCTAAACCCCAAAAACAAAGAGAAGAAGAAAAAAAAGGAAGAAAACATACTCCAAATGCGCCGGATGCCCCGCATAAACAGCGACATCCTCCGGTTTATCCAAAACCGCAACCAGCCCCATATCAAAGCCCTTGGCGCGGGGCACGGAGATTGGCAACGGCGGGTTAGTCTTCAGGGAGCGGAGACCGGGGATCTGGCCGACCATTGCCTGGGAGACTTTGGACCAGTTTGCCAGTTGGGCGGGCGTGACGCCTTGTTTGAGGCGAAAGAGGACTGCGTTTTGGGTTCTCTGGTCAGTGGGGAGTGTGTGGTTTGGTTGTTGTTGCAGGGTTGGGTTGGGTTGTTGGGGGTTTGGGGGTTGTTGGGGACGTACCGACGTGGTAGACTGGCATTTTGTTTTCTTTCTTGCTGTTCTTTTTCTTTTGGTTTTGGGGCTTGGGACAATGTTGGGTTTGGGTTGTGGGTGTTAGGGTGGGTGAGGTTGGGGTATGACTCTATTTACATAGGTTTAGAGAGAGTGGAGAGTCGGGGAATGAATGTCCGGGGAGGAATCATTCCTCGGCGTGTCTCCGACGTTGATCGGGTAGTCCAGTTTTGGACGGAACTAACCTGATCTTCATTGATTTTCCGGACAGTTTATTTGATCGAGGTTAATTTACTATTATCACTTTGTAGGATCTTCTGTCCTCGGGAGTCAGTGGTAGATTGTTATTCCAATCGGTATCATGAAATCGTGTCAAGATAACGATGTCTAACTATTTCTTCTTCTTGGTCTTGTCCACCACGTCGATCCATTGCGTCCTCAGACCGCGTCGCACAAGAGCCGTTTCCAATGCGCGCCGCTGATCGCCCTGCACTAGCACTTCCATGACTCCCCGCGGGGCGCCATTGGCCTGCGCTACGCTCGTGCTGCTGGCACACTTCTTTTGGAGCTCCTCGGCTAGCAGACTGGGGATGACGCCGAACACTTCCAGGTTCGAAACCTTGGTGACGGTCTTTGAGCCTGTGCGACGCTCCAGGATCACCGTTACCTTCGGGGTCGCGCCCGGTTTGGGTTTCACGTCTGCTAGGGTCTGTCCTGCTCGGAGAATGGCGTAGTGTGCGGTCAACAGGCTGTGGTCTTCCACGATGCGTTTCAGAAGGCCATCCCGGGTCGTCTTTCCCCGCGCAACGGTACTCTTGTCTTCGGAGGAAGAGGTAGTGAAGATGGTGTTGGCGAGGAAAGGGTTGAGGGAAATGATACGGCGGTTCTGCTTGTCGATGATAGGAGGGTTTTGAGATTGGAGGTATTGGTCCAGATGATTGGACACATCGGAGTATTTGTAGTAGTTCTGTGGGTTGGTACTGGACAATGCTGGAAATATTGTCGGCGTCAGCTTCTGCGTGGGCCGATACAGTGTCTGAACAGTGAGCGTTTGGCCAACAGCGGGATCACCGCCCGTGGCTTCTGGTTTCTTGTTCGCAGCCGCGCCAGGCTTCTTAGCATTCTCCAACGCGGACTTAGACGGAAGCCTGTACGGGACAAACTGTTCGACGAGGCGGTCGTTGAAGTCCACATCTAGTATAACAGTCTCTTGGCCATTCCGATCCTTGGACTTGACGAGTTGTTGCTTATCAAGATACTTGATAAACTTCTTGACGTTCTTCCAACTAGTTTTCTTGATTTGATAGTACTGGGCTTGCTGTGGGGAGAAGATCGGTAGGTAAGGTGTAATCATATTTGAGATCAAGAAAGAGGGTTGGACGGGAAGGGATAGTCCGTGGTTGGGAGCAGACGGATTGTCCTGCTTAAGCTTATATAAGGAGTAGATAAAGGCCTTCGTGAAAGCTTCGTCGATTTCTGTGCATCATTAGCCATCTGAGAAAGTGAAATGAGGTTTTATTAAGACCTACCTTTCATCGACGGCTCCTTTTCTTCCACCGGAGCTGGTTCTTCGGGCGATGCTTCTGCAGATTCAGCCGGCTCTTCGTCGCCTGCCGCTTGAGGGCTTACGTCCTCATTTAGGGCCAGCTCGTCAACCTTCTCTTCGATCTCTTCTACCTCCTCATCACCTTCAAGCTCTTCCTCGTCCCAGCCCGGCAAATAATCCGGCGCGGGTTGACCGGGACGCGATGACGAGCTCCAGGCCCATAACTCATCGCCCTCCCAGTGCAGACCTCGAACCGCATGACCCTTAGTACCTTGTACCTCCCCTAAAGCTGAGACATCGATTTCGCATACTCCGACGAAAAGCGGCACAGTGTGTCGATCCAAGCTAGCGACAGCAACTACAGCCCCCTCGACCGCCCGCTTGGGGAAAGGCGGCTCATTCGCGAGACCCGGGGTCATCAAATCTGCTCCTGCATGGAGTTTGCGCATGACCATCTCCGGGGTGTATAGCAACGGCACCAGGTTGGGATTGTTCCATAAGGTATATACTGTAGGGTAGAGACGGCCGTCTGCGCCGGGTCCATGTTCGATCTTGAACCATAAGACGCGTTCCTCCCCTCCCGGATGTGTCCCCACGTAAACGGTGCCCTGTACCTCTCGAAGCTGGGGACCTGCAGTCGTTGTAAAGCGTGCCGATAGCGAATTGTCAGGAAGGAGGGCATTCCGAATAGACGAAAGGTTCGGCGCGGGGTTCGACGGCGTCGAGTCTTCGCCAGCAGGCGCGCCGGCAGGAATCTCGATCTTATAGTCGCTAATAATTTGATCGGCGATTTTTCGACGGTCAGAAGACCGTAAAGGCGATAGATTCTTGATCTATCTGCCGTTCAGCCTTGGGTTTCTTTCTGAAATTTCTTGCGCCGTTCATGGGAAAGCTGTAGGCAGGTTTGGGCGAAGCAACGCGGGGGAGGGGTTGCTCACCGTAGGCTTTTTCTTAAACATGGCGAAGGATTATGAAAAGGTAGCGGTTAAGAAAAAAGAAATTATAACAAAAGCAGGTATATATCAGCCAATACCATGCAATATAGCAAACGCGACCGTCGCAGCTGGAAGGAAGAGCTGGTGGTAAAGAATGACGGAACCATGCAATTGTTTGTCCCGCAATAACAATCGGCCGCCATTCCTCATTCATCGCCAATTATCACCTGTCCCTTCGTTGCCCTACGAACGCCGCTTAAATGGGTGTCACAGCGACCATTTAATTTTTGGTTCCCAGGCTTAAATCCATGAGGCGCAGGGAACACTGCTATCACGCTTGAATGCACATTGATTCGGGATGATAATGCTCCCATTTGAAATGCGATATCCCATATATTCTTGTTTGGGCAGCTGCTGGTTGGTTACCACTCTATACATTTGTTAAAACAGATTAGCTTAGCATCGTGTTCAAAATGAGTACTATCTATAACAAAGCCACCCAGATTCTATAGAACATTTAGGCACGAATGGGTTCGTACCTTGTGTATCACAGACTCTACTAGTGAGGTAAAAATAGAAACGGAAAAAACCCCCTTAATACTTTTCGTTTGCCATGTTTATCTTTTACCATAAGAGAGGATCTACATTTTAAGTTTCAACGGTGATAGCGCAAAATATGTATAAAATTTTTCTAGTTACACAAATTTGGATTCCAGATCCTCATCAAGGCAAAATAGTAGTTCAACGGTGGAAAGATCGAATATAAAGTCTAAAGAATGTCTATTCGGTCCGAAACCACATCTCGGTGACAAATCTAGGCAGAGATGTCACGGGCGTGGATCTTGTCAGTGACAAGCCAAGAGAGAGTCTGCTTGATAACGTTCAGGAGCTCCTCGGCGCTGAGAGAGTTGAAGTACTCGGTCAGGTCGCTGGAGCTGGAGCTGGATCCAGAGCTGGCGCCAGAGCTAGCAGTGGGAGTGGAAGCAGCAGCGGAGGAGCTGGTGGCCTGGACGTGGGTCTGAGCGGGAGCAGAGCCAGTAACAGTGACGCTAGCAACAGCAGTGGAGGTCTGGTAAGCAGTGGCGGTGCTAGTCTGGACAGGAGCAGCAGTGGTAGAAGCAGAGGCACTGGCGGTAGCGGAGGGGGCGGCGCTGGAGCTGCCGGAGCCGGAGGAGCCGCTGGAGGAGCTGCCGGAGAAGAGAGCAGGGCCGGGGATGGTGTAGGAGGACAGGGTCTGGTAGATGTTGATCAGGATACCAGGGTCGGTGTCCTTGTAGAGAGCAGTACCGAGGGTACCCTCGGGCTTCTCGCTACCACCGCCGGTGACCTTGAAGTTGAGACACTGGGGGTAGTTTTGAGCACCATCCTTGTTGCCAGCAGAGTGAAGGGCAATGATTTCGTGACGCATGACATAGTTGCCGGCAGCAATGCTGCTGGGGATGGTCACGGTCCAGCTGTTGTTGCTGGAGATCAGGTTGTCAGAGGCCCAGGTGTTGTCACTGCCACTGATGAGGCCCTTCTCATCGATCTTGAAGAACTCGAGCGAAGACTTGTCGACGGTGGCGCAGTCCCCGTTGCAGTTGGCGAGGTAGGTGATGACAGGACCCTTGTGACTCTCGGGCCAGTCAGTCCACTGCAGCTCGACCTGCTTGCCAGCAGCAATCTCAGCAGAGATAGCGCCGTTCTTGGCGTTCTTGTGGCAGATAATGTCGGCATCGGCATATGAGCTACCATCAACGAATCCGAGGTCGGTGGCATCGGTCGACCATCCAATGACATCGGGGGGGTTAGACATGTAGTGGTAGGACATGTCATAACCAGAGTAGTACTGTCCGTCAACGACGGCACCAGAGACATAACCGTGACCGGCGACCAAAGCGGCCGAGCCGAGGACGACACCAGCAATCTTAGCGATAGACATTTTGATATGTGAAGTTTTTGAACTGATCAACGCGCAGCGTTTCTCGTGGTTTGAAAGGACCGAAGTGGGAAGGAGTGAAAAGAATGATCTTCAATCAATGAAGACGGTGAAAGAAAAGGAAGAGAATGGCAGGTTCGAAGACCCTAAAGAAAGAAAGGAATGCAAAGCTGATGAGGAAGAGAAGAAGACGTTAACCATCGTCGCAAAAGGACTGCTTTTATAATGCCGTCGGTCATAGTCTTCAAGATGTCGAGACTGGGCCAACGCTCAGACCAGACTGCCTCGAAATTAATGAAGGTTCATTGTCGATAGCTCTGCTACACATAGATTAAGTCCAGCAGCCAGCTCCACTACCGGTCGAATTTTCCGATAGGAGGAGATTCACCTCGATAACGATAGTGCTGTGGAAGAGTTTGGGATTGATGAAAGACAAGCACTGGCGGGCAGGTCCACCAAGGACCATGGACTTTTAGCGTCCAAAGGCGAGACGCTCCGCCAGGAACATTGACTATTTGGGAGCTAGTGGCACCCATACGGTTCCATACCAAGTCATCGAGAGAGACGAAGTAGGGTTCGGGCGTTTACCCTAACGGTTTGCTACCGACTGGGCCGTGAAGTGGAGAGCGTGGGGCCTTCCCCTAGGCGCTTGCCTCTGACAGTCTAGGTTTCAACTTCGGGGTTTTTCTCTCTGTCTCTGGACTGCCAAGAATTAAGTTCCCCCTCCGTATGACGAGATGCAATTTCCTGCTTCTGAGATACCTCAAGTCAGTCTCGACGATGCCATGTGGAATCACGGACGTGGCGCTACCAAGGGATTCTATTTGCCATTCGGACAATTGCTGTTCGTTCGGCAATTAGGTCTTCTTTTCCCATCTGTTATGCCGTGCCTTTCAGTGTTTGAAGAGTCTCTATGGTGATCTCTCTAGACTTGACGTCTACTAGTAGCTGACCAGGCCGTTTCAGAGTCATGTCTCTGGCTCCTTCATAATAACACTGTTTCCACCGCGTCGACTGAGATAGAAAACATGTCACCGTATCGATGGAAGGAGTAGGAATAGCTAATCTCCTACCCCTATACCTCCCTAATAACTTGGACATGGCCCCATGCCAGTCACCACATTGCCACCGAGCGAATGCAGGGTATCAAGGTACGCGCCTGACTACTGGATTAGGAAATGTATAAATTAAATGGCAGGGGCCAATTCATCCATCCTTGGCAATAATTATACATAGTGTCAGCTAGTTATACCACTATGGGCAGGACAGCTCCGTTTTTCCAGCACGGATCACCGCCGAGTCAGGTACCTCTAATTTTTCTAATTAAGGCTATCCAATAAACTCCGGAATTGACACAGCCTAAAAGGCTAAATCAAGTCTTTACTCTATTGAAGACGGACAGTTCCTTCGCTTCCGAGGGCCACTCTCGTATTACTCGCTTGGCCTTATCGAGAATGCCGCTGGACGTTGGCTTGTGGTCTGGACGCTGTTAATATATGGAGTGGGACGATAATGCATAGGGTGAAACATTTAACGACTGGGAAGACTGATATGTCTATTCTGGTGCCTTCGTCCGAGTTCCTGATCTACAGCGTGTGCGGGACTACAGAGACTGGCTGGACATTCAAGTTCTGTTATGCAGTCAATCAAAAACTGCTGAGTTACAAAGGACTTGGGTATATGGGCCCTTGGTCGGGTTATCTTCGGGGACATCTCGCACTCGTTTTGTGCAGTTATTCGCAGACTCCTCGGATTTCATTGGGCTCCTTACCAGATCAATATATCTTCTTTCTTCTCCTCGGCATCCCCTCCTTGGCTTGGGCCTTTTGATTTTCCTCAAACGGAATTCGAGTGAGATACCTGGTTCCAGTTTTCTTCGACTATTGGCTTAGGGGAGTGACCACTCGACACTGGAAGATAGTACTGTTGCTACTTCTGAGCACCTGTATTCTTATTTTCCTCTTCTTTTCCTTTCTCTTCTTCCTTTCTCTTCTTCCTTTCTCTTCTTCCTTTCTCTTCTTCCTTTCTCTTCTTCCTTTCTCTTCTTCCTTTCTCTTCTTCCTTTCAACCCTGGCCTCACGCTCGTAGCCCAGGCTTACCTCGAGATACTTTTCCAAGACGTTGATTCAAGGGCTCGGTCACACCATTACACAACCTCGGAGAGACTTAAACCCCTGCGCGACCATATAATCCAATGCCAGCATTCGTGTATTGAAAGCCCTGGGAGCAACTGACCCTGCCACGCAGAACGCCATATCCGAAGTTTTAATGACATAGTATACGACGAACTAAACACAAACCGGCACGTTCAACCACAGCAGAGCCCTGTTTGCGGGGATAAGAGTATGATGGATGGGCTCGACAAATGACTCCTTGGATAACATGCATAATGAGTAGTTACAATGACTAGCACTTTCTGGGTAGATAAAAGGAGACGAAGGTTATCCTGAGTAAGCAGGTGGCCCTGTCATTACTGTGTACGGACTCTACGGAGGATCAGAAGCCAAAGCTGGCCTCCTGTAAGGAGATGCATATTTACCGAGGCGATACACAGATCGTGATTGCGATGCTTGTGTTTGCTTCTGATGATGTCGACCATGATAGAAGAACGGCTTACTAGCCCGAGTTGCACTGCATACACATGCTTTTATCACTAGTGGTGATACAACGACGGTGTACTCTGTCTCGGTATGTGATCCTGCTAGTAATAACAGTAGCACAGGAATTATTCGCTATGCAGAAGCGATCTATGACACTTGAACTTTAACCTTGATGGACTTAATCTTGCGAGAACAAGTTTTAATGAAGGTTGCCTAGATAGAACTTGGTGAAGTGACTCGTATGCGGGGAGAGTCCAATTATATGGTGCGATGTCGGCATTCTTGACAATATATATATCTGCCAAGCGAGCGGTTTATTCCTTTCCGTCACCGTTGAACAAAGGAAACTTAGAAATCAGTAGTAGGATGGAGGTCCATGCCCTCTGTGTTGGCATTTGTCTTTGTATCTTGAGAGATTTTGATTAAATTCGCGCTCTGAGGTTAATATCTAATGTGTCTAATGTGAAGGCCTGCCAATGGAGATGGCTACTACGTATCTGTAAATAATTTTCCTGGGGCAACGAGAGATTCATTTCCGAGCATTACTAAGGAGTTACATAAGCCGGGCTCTAACAGCCAATCAATATCTGGCAACCTAATTTACCTTGGGGCTTGTGTGGCTGAGAGCCCCAAAGGGCTTAGCGGCACTCAACCCGCCCGGCTCACCGCGAAGTTGTCATTTGCTCCCGGGACAGACTCTGATTCACGATAGCACCAGCCTTTTGGCCCTCCCTTTCCCCATCTCTCCGTGCACTTACATTGGGTCGTTGCGCTGGATCCTTGTTCAGATATCCTACTCCAGCGCTGGGTCTTCGAAGAAACACTATATCCGTACTGCTGCCCTCCGATATCTACCGCCCCCTCGGACGCTCGCCGCTCCAGAGTCGGTCTGCCTTTCCAACCCTCACTTTCCCCTTTACGAAAGCGCCGCGCCTCCGTCTCCGCTCTTTACGCCCCGTCTCACCGTCAACACTTTCACCCACAGGAAGTCAACAACCCGGATTGCCAACTCGGTGACTACGGATCGCTTTGCAATTCGCTTAGATGGATAAAAGTTGCTGGTAGTGGAAGAGGTTGAACCGCGTGTGCGTGAGATTAGTGTTAATCTATCGATCATTTACCGCCTCGCTTCTTTGTACCTATTTGCCCGAACGGATTTGTGATTTGTAAGGGATTCGCATTAAGGAGTGGGTTCACACCAGGAGACAATCAAGGCCACCGACAGACCTCGAGCTCTTGGCCTTGTACTTGCTGTTCCTGACGGGATTCGAGGATGGGACCGGCAGATGCTGCGTCTTCACCCGCTTTTCCAGCCCTGGATCCGATCATTGTTGATAACGAAATGGATAGCCCATATCAAGACGCCAACCTAGACTTCATTGACTCTGCGCGATTACAGATGTCGTCTGAAAACGCTGGCCGGGATTTCGACGATCTCTTCGCCCATTCCACCTCGTCCCGCACCGTCACAGAATCGGGCTCTGTGTGTTTGTCGCCCTCGGATTTGTCCCTTAAGCGACCATATCAAGATCAAGATACATTACGACAGCCGAATCTTGTGAAACCAGATTCACCGGCAGAGTCCCCAGAAGCCTCAAGCCGCAGCTCTTCGTCGGAGTCACCCCGGGATCATCTTCGGAACGCTTCAGTCGCCTCGTCCGCATCGGCAATTCAGAGCGAAACTCATATCATGCCGTTCGGGTATACGTCAGAGGATTGGCTCAGCCAGGAGCTAAACTCAGTCAAGGAGGAGTCGCTATTTGGGTTTGACCCTTCTTCCATAGCCAGTATGGATGGCGCTTTCCCAGATTTGGAGTCGAGTAACAAGGCCATGGATGCAGCCTTCGATTTTGAAAGTGCCGCTAGTAGCCCAAGTCCCTTGAAGATTGAATCTACTCCGCAACCGACATCGCAGAAGAGCTTGAGAACACAGTTCCGCAGTACATCGGCACCAAAGCGATCCGCCTCTCCGGTAAGATCTTCTAATCACGATACCATAACAGAGCACCTTTGCTAAAGTCTTCTAGCAGTTCCATTCGACGGGATCACCGTATTTTCGCCACAGCGCTAAAGAACCCTCTCCTTTCGCAGTCTCCGGTTTACCCAGTCAAGGCAAGTCACCCATGAACCAATGGGCTGGCCGGTCACCTTCTTCACTTCTAGAGGAGAGCTTTGGGGGTATCAATATGGACGCCAGCTCGCCTTTGAACTCCAACTTGAACTTTGTCCCGAGCAATTTCACCAACTTCGGCCTCAACTTCGCACCGTCTCCTCCACAAAGCAACATGAAGTCGGAAACAACGCAGTGTCATGTTCTGACCGTTCATCCTACCTCTCTCAAGTCGCGCGTGGAGACCCAGATTCCCATTAGGTTAACTCTATTCCCGTTGCCCACCGGCGTGAAGAAAGTACGTTTGCCAAGTCACACCATCTCCAAGCCAAAATTCCTTGCCCCAGCGTCAGCCGACCGCGCTCCAGACACCGTAGAGCTGCACACAAGTCTTGTCTGTACGAGTGCAATGCAGGATCAGGAAAAACTGAAGAAGGCATTTGCACGAGCAAGAGGAGAACCGCGCTGCCGTTCCTCTAGCTCAAGCCCTTGTCCTGCCGAGGACGTACAGGAAGATGATAAGCCTTTAGACGGAGGAGAGGTCAAGATTTGCTCTGGATGTATACAGCGGGAACGGAAGCGAGCTTTTCGTAAAAAGCAGAGGAAACCAGAAGAGGATGAGCTCTTCCAGAAAGATGAAGAGAAGAGGGTCATTGTGTTCAACACTAATGAGATCAAGGATTGGACGGAGCCTTCTAAGAGCGCTATGCCCAATTATGGTGACATTCCAAACCTAGCTGTCCCTGCCGGGGCTATGCAGGTAGAGCTCCCTATGCGAATCGCTTGCTACTGCAGACATCAAAACGAGAAGCTGGGATTTCAGTAAGCCAAACTACAATGTTAGCTGTCAGATCTATGACTAACCAAGCTTTTCCAGGGTCATCTTTACGGTCAAGGATTATAAGGACAATGTTATTGCCCAGGCGATAACGAACTCCATTATGATCACAGATGATCACAAAACCCATGCTCCTCCTGCTCCGCCGGCCCCCGGCCCTTCGCCGTCTCTACCTGATGGAACACAGTTACCGGGTGTTGGTGTATTCCCGTCTGGTCCGGTCCTTGACACTGGAAAGGCATCTGCTTCATCGCAACCATCGTCTGCCACAGACCTGCAAGGGCTCCAGCAGAGGTTCAACACGCAGTATCAGCTGACCTCAGGGTCTTTTGCGATGCCCCAGAATGGCACGACGTCGTCTACATCACGCAGTCTGTCACGTCAAACGTCACCGAACGACTTCCAAGGCCCGATGAGCAAGAGGCGTAAACACAGCAACTCCGGAAGACTTCCGTCCGAGCTAACCATGACTAAACTGGACAATGTGCCACCGTCTGCCAGTGTTTCTGGCACTCCAGCCCTTAACAACGATTCGCCATTCTCCGCACCGCGCGGGTTCGCTTCGCCTGTAGAAAGGCCTTTCGTGACAGCATCAGCCCTGTCCGGTCAATTCCCGAACAGTCCTCCAACCCCTAATAGCGGCGAAAGTAATCCATTTTTCAACCCTACCTCACAACAGCAGCAAAGCCTGGACACTTTTATTCAACAGCAATTGATGTCGGCACCAAATTCCGCTCAACCGAGCCGTCCTGGAACCCCCGGGCCCTCTACGCGGAACAACTTCCAAGAGCAAAACCTTAGTCTTCCATTGGGCCCTAATACGTCAACCCCAATGTGGCCTCCTCTCACGAATGCTGGAAACCGGCTGCCTTCCGTCATTCACAAGTTAGTTCCAGCCGAGGGCTCTATTACGGGAGGAACTGAAGTGACGCTCTTGGGAAGTGGGTTTTATCCTGGTATGGAAGTTGTCTTCGGTGACACCCTGGCTACAACCACGACCTTTTGGGGTGATAAATGCCTCAACTGCTTGACCCCACCTGCACTCCAGCCTGGATTGGTTGCAGTCGTCTTCAAGCATGAGCATCCCACCTTTGGTCAGGTACAGACGCCTCCACCTCTGATGCCGAAACAGCAACAGTTTTTCCGTTATGTGGATGACCGGGAGCTCCAAATGTATCGCCTCGCTCTGGGTATACTCGGACAGAAACTTGGCAGCCAGGCGGATGCCTTCCAAACTGCTCAGCAGATCATGGGTAGCGACCCCAAATCCATGTTCGGCCTGCAAAAGGATTTCCAAGGTGGCTCGGGTGGTGGTCATCAGCGGCAAGTGCCCGGATTAGAGTCACAAGGTAAACTAGGTGATATGGACTCCAAGATGTTGACCTACCTTGAATTTGTCGATCTCGATGACAACCCCCGCCCGCCGAAGTACAATTCACGCTGCGCAACGGGCCAGACGCTGCTTCACTTCGCAGCATCCTTGGGGCTGACACGCTTTGTCGCGGGACTGCTTGCTAGAGGTGCTAATCCGGACGTGCAGGACAACACGGGGAATACGCCAATGCATCTGGCTGCCTTGAACGGCCATGCCCATATCGTCAACAGGCTCCGTCTGGCTGGGGCGAATGTCGCTACCCGTAGTATTCGCGGTTTTACCCCTGCTGACATTGCTTCTACCCTACCCGCTCATCAAGCTGCTTTGGTCCCAGCGCAGCATCGCCGGTCACGAAGCGTTGGGTCATTGTCATCATTGCGACGCAGACACAGTAGCTCTGCATCTCTTCACTCACTGTGGGGGTCTTCCTCGGGTTCGTTCGATGAAGCTATCGATGACTCGGATGATCTGGATGACGCCGACAGTGACGATCTCGAGTTTACAGTGTCACGGCGGTCAAGCATGCATCACGATGTGCCGGTACCGCTTCCTAATATCGAACAGGCTTCGGCACCTGAGGATGCACGACCATTCTCTCCACCGGCCGCTCTTGTCGCTTGGCGGAATCAGTTACAGACCCAGATCAATCAGTTCCAACAAAGCGTGGCCAATGCGTTCCCTAATCTTCCCGCATTGCCACCGATGCCGGCTTTGCCTGACTATCAAGCGCACCCCATGATGCGTCGCATTACAAACCTCGTTCCCCACAGGCCTTCCACCGCCCGGTCGGCTAAGGAAGGCTGGTGGGACCTTCTAACGGGCAATTCTGCCCCCAATACCACGGAGCTGCCTTCTTACGAAGAGCTGTATCCGCAACAGGATGAACAGGGCGACGAAGATATGACCCGCATGAAGAAATCGAGCATGTTGCAGGCGGCCACCGAGGCAGTTTTGGATCAACATTTTGAGGCACAGACGAGTGTGCAAGTCAGTGCGCAAGCCAGCACATCCCGAGCAGTCACTGTCGCCCAGGAGAATGAGGACCTTAAAGATATCCGTATTGGCCGAAGGGTGATCTCTCGCGAGCAGCAACAGCATCTCCGGGAGCAGCAAGCACAGAGGATGAAGGGGCTCGGTAGTGACCGCAATCTGTACTTTATTTGGGTAAGTCGGCCTGTTAGCGTATATTTTCGTACTGTTTCGAGCTTCGCCGTTACTGACTGGTCGTAGATTCCTCTTCTGGTTCTAGTTATCTGCGCCTGGGCTCGAAGCTATGTTCCCGGCATTTGGCAAGGATTCTCCAGCGGTATTGAGTTTGTGAAGACCCGCTATGCGCAGCGCGCGTTGGATCTTGGAGTTTAGATATCGCACACTCTCTTTTTCCCCCTTTCTTTCCCCTTTTTCTACCTTCCCTTAATTTTCCTTTTTGCGGTCTGTTGTTTCAAGCTTGGGCGTTCTGTCCTCTAGGCGGGTGATATTATCGGTTTCTTATATTGTTGTTTGGTTCGTTGTTTTGACATAACGATGGGATACGATTAGGTGTTTCGCACTGTGAGCATTTTTTATTTGAAGCATTGTACAGAGCTGTTGGTTGTATCATAATCGGGTTATCCTGGTTGTGAGGGAAGTTAGCTAAGAGATGGTGAATATCTACTGTGTATATAGTTCCCTATTAATTCAAATAGAGCCCTTGAAGAATATTGTGGTTTCAATAAGCTATGCCGTTATTAGTTTGACTTGGTGTTTGTCTTGCCCTGTGCCTTGCAGGTTAGACATAGTAGTACAGTGTATAGCAAGACCACCGTAGGATGCCAAGAGGGAGCCGCAACGTGGAGAAGGCGGTCTCCGTTCTCGAACAACAACAGCCTTTAGTGCCTGCCCCCGAATTTACTTCATTCGCCATTTCCAGATATTTTTTTTTTTTTTTTTGGATAGGAGTTTTGCTTCGCTCCAACGGCATGCTTCTTGGGAGCTAGTTCTCTGTCACAGCCCGAAACGCCCTCGGCAAACATGGATCCCTCACCGCAGGCGGGCTCAAGCAGTGTCACCGGTGCGTGAAGACCGCGATGGTCCTAGCAGGGTTGCATACTGACTGACCTGGATCTTCAGTCGAATATACCGACCCCTCCGGCTTGTTCCCTCTCGTTCAGCCCGTTCTTGCGAACAAACTACCCCTGAAGAACCTTCACTGGAAGTCACCTACTCGCCCCGTCCGATCCATCGAGTCCCTCCGCATCGGCTTCGTCCCTGCCCAGAATGAGGCCACCGAGCGCAAACCCTCCGCTGATAGCGCCGTGCCGCATCGACGTCACCAAATTCCCGGCCTCCGTCAGACGCCCTATCTAAAGATCTTCCTTTTGCGCTGCGATGATAATGAAACCTACAAATCGACTGCCAGGAAGGGATTGCGCGAATGGATCAAGTCGCATGCGTCGATGTCGCAGTCTACCACAAGCCAGGAGAAGCATGACGCATGTGAATGGTTGATTCTACATGTTGTGCAAGATGGAGATGGTGCGGAAAAGGCTATGCCATCGTCTAAATGGGGTCGCACCAGTACGACGGTCCTCGAGAAGGTCAAGGCTGACTTCAATGGCACCTCGAAGTCCGCCGTGGACCGGGTAGCTCAGTTGCGTCTACCTAAGCAGGGAACCACGCAGAAACCACCGGATTTGGCTGACCAGCTGGAGGACTTGATCGAGAAGATTAAGAATGGTATTCTCGCCTCGTTCGATCTTCGCGTGGCACAATATGAGGACGATATCAAGGAGAAGGATTCACAGAGAAGTCTGCCCGGATGGAACTTTTGCACGTTCTTTATCCTGAAGGAGGGTCTGGCGAGAGGCTTCGAAAACGTAGGGCTGTTTGACGATGCGCTCCTTGGATACGATGAACTTTCCATCGGATTGGATACTGCGATTGAGGAACAACTTGGAGGCAGCGGAGAGCCACACGGTAGTGCCTTTTTGATGCACACCGAGGATTGGCAGGAGAAGGCGAAGGCTGCTTTGGAAACCCCAGCAGCTCCGAAGGACGAGGAAGATGAAGAGCCAACCCCGATTCCCGAACTCGACGCGGACGATTTCCCCATTGACTCGAACAAGAAGGCCTACCGGGAGATGATTCTAGCTAGCAATATCTCTATCTTCGATTTCCGCCTCTACATTTTCTCGCGACAACTAACCCTACTCCTCAGGGCGGCGAAGGCTCCCTCTCTACTCAATAAGGAGCCCGATGCCGGTCAAACGCGAGCCAATACGAATAAGAAGCCGGAAAATTTGATGCTACTTTCAGAGATCTGCGAAAGAGCGACGGAGTTCATTAGCTTTTCTGCACGCAACCTCAGATGCGACCTGGAATCGGGGCTTACCGATGTAGACAATACTGGAAAAGCGGAGGTCATCAACAATCTGGTGTCATCCTGGGCATACGCTGCTGCGTTGCAGATTCTATCGCAAACGTCCACTCCGGCGCTCACTCTACCGGAGTCCTCTTTGCATGCGATCACTTCCCCGGCAGACACTGCTAGAGAATCCAGACCAGAGTTGCCTCGGCGCAGCAGCTCCCTGGTTAGCCTCCCAGACCCGCCCTGGTCGCTCTAATACGGATATTCTATCCCCAGATGCGCTGTCGTCTGTTCATTCTGGACTAGGCCAGGGAACACCCAAACTCGCGCTCGCTCCGGCTCCGAAGACTGGGTCCGAACAGCTGGCTTCCGCTAGAGGGGAGTTGCTGCTCATGGCTCGTCGGGTGATGGAAGAGATTGCCGGGCGTTGCGGATGGAGAGAGAAGTGGGATGATCTCAGCCTACTCTTTGACAGTGAAAGTGCTGGCAATAGTGATATGACGGAAATCCCTCTAGACGCCGTGACATCGCAGCCAGAAGAAAAGCCTGAAACAACTCATAACCTCTCGGGGATCGAATTGCCCGGGTTGAAGGCTGCCCTCCGCTCAAAAAAGTCCTTCCGCTCACACTTCGAAGAGCTAACGGATGATATGTATCGTCACCATATCACGGCAAATCGTACGTATTCCGCACAGACGGCCCTTGCGGACATGGCCCTCGTAAGGTTCCGGCAGAGCGACTACGGTGCAGCAGCCTCCTATTTTCATCAAATTACTCCTTTCTACGGCAGCAAGCAATGGACTGTTCTGGAGGGTGTGATGCTAGAAATGTACGCACGATGCTTGAAAGAGCTGCAACGGAGTGAGGAGTATGTTCGAATGTCCCTTCGACTCCTTGCGAAGTTCGCCTCTCATAAGCAGTCGAGCTTGTCGACGCGGCAGAAGACCCTTGATGCGTCGTCCATATTTGCAGAGGAAGAATTAATCTCTCAATATGTTGAGGACTTGTTTGAGGCCTCCGGTGCCTTGCAGAAGGAGGTCACGGCCCCTTTGACTGACTTCTTCGCGGATTTACATGTTAATCCTGCTATCATTCTTTATAAAGATAAAGATGGCTTTCAGCTGCAGCTTTCATTGCGATTCCTCTTAGGAAAGCGAATTGAGGTTGACTCAATGAAGATTAGGCTCGTTGGGACCGGAGGCAGTCAAAGTAATGAACATTGGTTGGAGCTACCCTCTAAGACGACTATCAAGTCGTCGTCGACGAAGGTCCAGGTCGATTCTTCGGTAAGTACTGTTTGTCACTGTTTCCGGCTCACCCGCTTTACTTCGTGGCATTCAATAACCCCTCTCTATGTAGATGACACTGCAAGGGAAATACTACATTGACCGGGTTGAACTTCGAGCCCGCAGCATCCTTTTCACATATGGGGGTGGGAAACATTCAGTCCTCCCCTTAGGATTCAGAGAAGCAGTAGACGCTGAAGAGGATAGTCGGCCGTATATCTACTGCTTCCCCCCACCCAAAGGACTTCAGGCGAAAATCGTGTCGCCTCATCTTGTGAACCTTCAAGAGATGCGGACGCTTGAGTTAGAACTTGACAGTGGGTGGAATGATATCAAGAGCGCTACTCTTCGAGTGAGGCCCGCCACTGCAGGGCTCCGCCTACGAATCGCTGAAGCCGAAGTAGTGGAAGGTGACATCAAGATTATTGCCAACAGCGAAACAGGGCATATTGAGTTCGCTCAATTAGGACCTAACTCTTTCATCCGGCTTAGGATCCCATACACGATGGAGGAGCATCACCCGATGCTCTCTGCACGCGCAGAGGTTGGATATGAGACGATACACGGGCACTTCTCGTACTCCTCTCTACACAGCATCGTATCAGGTTTACCCATTAGCGTCAACGTCCAGGACACGTTCAAGGACCAGGTCCTCTTTTCTCGATTTACGGTCAGCCCAGCTATGATGATTCCTCTCCGCATCCTCAAATGCAGTATACCGAGTTCGGACGTCTATCACGTCCAGTCTAATATCGGTGACTCGGTCGCAATGAACGTCTTTCCCAAACAGCCCGCATCCTTACTCTACAAGATACAACAGCGGGAGGAAGCCGTAATGTCACCTGGTGCGAGACGTTCACTCCGTCTCAGCGTTGATTTTACCTGCGTAGACGACGAATGTCTGAACGCCGTTGAGAAGACCTTCAAAGAAAGCATCGCAACCAGCGACTACCAACAATACAGTGCCCTCCTTACGTCGCACATTGTCGACACGTTTCGCACACAGCTGTCGACTTCAGAGATGGAAGTCATCGGGCTCGTCCGGGAGGTGGAAACACTACCCTATTCTAGTGTCAAGTGGGAAATGCTTCTAAGTGCGCTGAAGCAACCACTGGACGGACTGAAAACTTGGCTCCAGGAGTGGCACCAGGTAAGTGCACCTGGGGCACTTTTGAAGGGTTATATATGCCTTGCATACAGGAACTTGTGCTGACGCGTACGCAGAATCACCCTATCATCAGCCTTCCAGATCAGCCATCAATCCCCCGCCGACACATCATCATCCCCGTGGACATTCCCGAGATCCAAGTGGTGCATACTGCCGAGCTGCGACTCCGCAACCTCGCCGACCAACCCCCACACGCTGCGGTCGGGCAGATGATCGCAGCCGAGCTCAGCCTACGTCATACGCGCAGATGGTGTTCGCCCGAGCATCGCGAGAATGCGGGAGGCCCGCTCGAATTCTCGTACGAAATCCACGCGAACCCGGAGCTCTGGCTCGTGGGCGGTCGTCGACGAGGTAACTTCACCGCGGAGGAGGGGGAGACCAAGACCTTTGCGGTGATGCTTCTTCCACAGAAGGCGGGACATCTCCTTCTGCCGGGACTCGAAATCAAGACCTTCGTGCCCGCGTCCTCGGCCGCACCGCCAAAGCCACCAGCGCCTGCCACTGGCCCCGCCGGAGCAGCGCCGGTCTTGCAACGACGACAGATCGCATGTGAGGTCGACTACCGCAATCACGGGGAGACCGTCTTGGTGCTGCCGGACCTACGAAGCACGACAGTCAGTCTTAGCCTGTCGGGAGGAAACCACGGCGCGGCATGGCTAATCGACTCGGAGCGAAGGGTCCTTGCATAGTATTTACAAGTACTCTGTACATAAATAGGTAAATATGACTATTAATGACAGGCAATTGAGTGAGAATCAGTAAATAGTGATACCAAATCGGGAAACCTAAACAAAACTCCACCCATGATAAAAAAGAACAAAATAAAATTTTAATAAAAACACCTCACAAAGGGCAGAGTAACAATAACGACCCAAAAAGGTCTAGTCCCATACCACAAAGTCAACTTGAAAAAAAAAAAAGAAAAGAAAATAAATGAAATGAAAAGAAAAGGCAAATTCAAAATACCGCAAACCCAAAAACAGTGGTTCATCCAGTGGCCAGCGACTAAATTTCCCTCCGCTGACTTCTCAAGACATTCTAGCGCGGACCGACAATCCTTTCAGAGCCCCACCCGATCCAACCTCAACAAAAATTGGCGTCTCCCCCAACAGAACAGTGATGATCCTTACAGTTTACTAGCCACATCGATTTTCTACTCGGGGAGGGTTTTTTGTGTTCTTTTGAGTTGTTCTTTTTTTTTTTGTGTTCTTTGGTTTTGTTTTGTATTTATTTTTGTAGGCATTTTATTTTTACACTCTTTTTTTTCTTTCTTGTTAAATTATCCTATCTATTTGTTTGGTCGTTTGTTAAAGTGTCCCTATCCTAAGAATAATACCGAAGAAAGACATAATAAATTAACTCCGCTATATGAAAGTAAAAGAAATAGAAGAGACGAGGGGGGTAAGAATCACATGTAGAAGAGAGAGAAAAAAGTTGTAAGAAGTTGTTGTCAACTACTACCTACCCGGTACGGACTAGTTCCATCACCAGGATCAGATCGACCCTGCCAATCAGAGATGCTCTATCTACAGTTGATCAGTGGCATTGTCATTCTGAGAGCTTATCTTGCTTGTTTTGATGCTTTTTGTTTGATATTGTCTTTGGTTAATTTGTTTTGGGTGTTGGAGGGTGGATGGTATATGTATGTGTGTATGTATGTATGTAGGTGTGTGTACTTTGTGGGTGTGTGCTTTGGGCCTAGGTGTCTTGAGGGGTGGCAGGGCCTCTTGCTTCCACGGGTACGGTAGGTGTACATGTGTTGGTGAGTGCATGGTTCCACGTTGGAGGAGTATATAATGATATGGACTTTCATCTAGTTGGGGATGAAACATGAAACAGAGTTGACATGCTACACTTGCCTTATATTGACTTCTGGGAGAGTTTGGGGATTCTCGATTTGGCTTTTATCGAGGGGGATTGAGTTCGTCACATGGCGGCTTACTTACTCTTCAATGGAGAGGGCGAGGCTTTAACGTTCGAGATCGATGTGGTCATGATGGCAACTGTCGCCTCTACGGAGTATGCTCTTCGACATGAATCCCATCCCAATGGACTCATGGCGCATGTGAGGCGAGTCATGATGGAATAAGGTAGGTAATGAGATCCATCTGGACCTCCACATCTGTCGACGACCTAAGATCCGAATCATCTCCGACCTCCACCGGCCATGGACGGCGATGCCAATCAGCGAGGGGCCAATTGCCCATTGCACATGATACCTCGGGATGACAGCGTCTCGACTTGCCTGCGTTAGTAACTCTAAAAGGTTAATTTGACTGGAAACGAACACCAGCAAGACGAGTGGACTGATGATCGGACGAGGATTGTTGAGAAGCCAAGAGTGATTGCAGGCGGAGTGGATCCGATGGTATGCAGGCAGGAGAAGGCGGTAAGCGCTCCCCAGCTTCTTTGGTGTCCCTGGCAATCGTGCGTAATGAGAATACCCTTACCACGTATTTTTCAATCCGGAAAGACTGAACGCCACATGCCGCCGAAGCCATGTTATCGCTACCGATAAGCAGATACTGATCTATGCTTGGGGTGACTTTTCTCACGACCAGTCCTCGATGGACGATTGCAAATGTTGGAGTGACAGGCCAGTTGACTAGTAGAAATGATGAGAGATCCTCTCAGCCAGCCCTGCCCAGCAAACATTTGGACGATATAGGCGTCCTGAGCGGCCATTCGTCATGGCGGGTGGGAACTCGCGTTCATATGCATGCACGACGAGAAGTTAGCCGTAGCTGAACCATGCACCTGATGTGCCTGACCCTCGGCAGCGTGAGTAACAGAGGGGAGGATGTCAGGAAACAGGCTAATTGCCAGTCGATCGAGTCTTGGTCGTACAGGCTCAGGCGACTGGAGGCGAATTGAAGGCGGGATTGCTGTCAGCAAACTTTAGATCAGAATTGCCAAATACCACGACGGGTAACAAAATCCAGGAGTCCTGGCCAATCATGGAACCCCAACGGTACACAAAATTACCCTCTCCTGCACGGCTCCATACGCCGTCGATCTCCCCAAAGGACGAGAATTACCAGATGGAAAGGGACCGCCATCCAGAACAATGTTTGGTTCCTTTCCACTCGGGTGCCTTACCTTATGGTGATTTTTTTTTCTTTCCTTTTTGGCCCATTTGGATTTTTTCCAATTAATCGCCATTGGTCTGTATTTTTTTTTTCTTTGCTTGGGGCGGCCTTCCTTCCTTTCCTTCCCTTCCCACGCCTTTTCCCCGGGCCGATGTCCTTCAGCTGATTCTTAACCTGGAACTTGTTTTTTTTTTTCCTTCTCTTCTTTTTGTTGCCTCCGTTCAGCTTTCTTCAGCTCGTCTAATACCTTACCCTCCCCTCCTCAATCCCGGCCAGGGCAATTCCGGAGTGGTGCTGAACATCACCCCATACCCACTCGTCCCTATATCAGCTGCCAGGGAGCTCTCATCCTTCAGGATCCTTTGCGATCGTGTAACCTCCGACCCCTTTGGAGTGAGCCATTGGTATGTCCACAGCATAGCTTTTGTCTGCAGAAGCACATCCACCATCCCTTCCCTCCATTGGTTGACATGTACAATGCACGATGTACTGACAAAGAACCACCAGAGAACGCAACCTCGGGACCCCTCGTTGGATACTCCAGACGTCAACCACAATACAATGTCTTCCACAGCTATCCCCAAGCGCATGGCACTGAACCGCAACCCGGGCACGGATTCCTCCGTCCCCAGCGTGTCGGTATCTCCGTTTGACAGCCCTCGTCATTCGCCGTCCTCGACTTCCCTTTCGTCGCTCGCGTCCGAGTCCGAGAACAAGGACAAGATGTTGGACACGTATGGAAATGAGTTCAAGATCCCGGACTACACCATCAAGCAGATCCGTGACGCTATTCCTGCTCACTGCTACGAGCGGAAAGCTCTCACCAGCTTGTACTATGTCTTCCGTGATGTAGCCATGTTGGGATCCATCTTCTATGTCTTCCACAACTATGTCACCCCCGAGACCGTTCCCTCTTTCCCGGCTCGCGTTGCTTTGTGGACCATCTACACCATCGTCCAGGGCCTGATCGCTACTGGTGTCTGGGTTTTGGCCCACGAGTGCGGTCACCAGGCTTTCTCCCCCTCCAAGGTTCTGAACGACACTGTTGGCTGGATCTGCCACTCCGCCCTGCTGGTGCCGTATTTCTCCTGGAAGATCTCCCACGGCAAGCACCACAAGGCCACGGGTAACATCGCCCGTGATATGGTGTTCGTCCCCAAGACCCGCAACGAGTATGCTTCCCGCGTCGGCAAGACCATTCACGAGTTGAACGAGTTGATGGAGGAGACTCCTATCGCCACTGTCATGAACCTCATTCTCCAGCAGCTCTTCGGATGGCCCATGTACCTTATCACCAACGTTACCGGTCACAACAACCACGAGCGCCAGCCCGAGGGTCGTGGAAAGGGAAAGCGTAACGGCTACTTCGGTGGTGTCAACCACTTCAACCCTAGCAGCCCTCTGTACGAGGCCAAGGATGCTAAGCTCATTGCCCTGAGTGACTTGGGTCTCGCCATCACCGGATCCGTTCTCTATTACATTGGTTCCACCTATGGCTGGCTCAACCTCCTGGTGTGGTATGGAATTCCTTACCTCTGGGTGAACCACTGGCTGGGTAAGACTTTTCTCGAAACTTCCATGACCTAGCGAGATATGTGCTAACAATTGCCAACAGTTGCCATCACTTACCTCCAGCATACCGACCCTACTCTTCCCCACTACCAGCCCGAGGTGTGGAATTTCGCCCGTGGAGCCGCTGCCACCATTGACCGTGACTTCGGATTCGTCGGTCGTAACATCTTGCACGGTATCATTGAGACTCACGTCCTTCACCACTACGTCAGCACCATCCCCTTCTACCACGCCGACGAGGCCAGTGAGGCCATCAAGAAGGTCATGGGCTCGCACTACCGCACGGAGGCCCACACTGGCTGGACTGGATTCTTCAAGGCTCTCTGGACCAGCGCCCGTGTCTGCCACTGGGTCGAGCCGACCGAGGGTGCCAAGGGCGAGAGCGAAGGTGTGCTCTTCTACCGTAATACCAACGGTGTCGGAGTTCCTCCGGCCAAGCTTTCTAAATAGATTATGTGTTTGTCGATATAGAACGATTTTATTTTGAAATTTCCTGTGTGGTGCTCGCAGGATCGAGTGGCCACTATTTGGACACTCATCACGTCACGTCATAGAGCAACTGCGAGTTAATCGATCAACCTGAAGGCGTATATGGGGCATGAGATCTGGGTGAAACACATGTTTGAGCTTTTGCTTTAATTGCGATTAATCTGGGGCGTCAGTTTTTTTTGGGTGTATGTTCAACCTAGACCATCTCTGTTATCCTTCACGGCAAATACTTTTTTGGTCATTTTTCCAGCGAAAGAGCCTTTGGTTTCTCATCCAAGACCTCAGTCGAACAAAAAGTTCATTTCCATCCTCACGGTTGAGACACGACAACCCGTTACAAGCTGCTGGGTCAATTTCTGCCCATAGACCTAAACATCTAGACCTTTTATCGAATCTCTCTGCAGTGAATCTCTGGATATGGATCCGGCTAGTGTAAAGCGTAAGCAAGGATGTTGAAGAACTGAAAATAAGAGTGAGAGGAAAAGCAACGGTTTAAGATTTCTGGAACTGCGGGGAATTTTAGCTTCCGCGACCCGCCGAAGAAGGCACTAAAAACCAGACCCATAGCCTACTTTCTGCAGTGACCTAGGCAGAAACATACTAAAAGCTTGAGCTTTATATGTACTGTACTGTATTCCGTTTCTTTACTCCACTCCGTGCCTCAAATTACACCTTACAGAGTGTAAGACCAAGGGGAAGGGTGGCATAATGAGGGTATATAGGAGAAAGGAGCAGGAAGCATAACTCTATTCACAGCTCTTCAATCCACCTTTCCAGATCGTAAAGCTGACTTCGTCTTGGGTTTGGTTTTGCTCGTTGACCGACCCTGCGGCCCAGGGCGCAAACACGAGTTTCATAGTACGCCGGACAGGACGCTCAGGTGGTGGCTGAGGTGAGGGTGGTGATAGCTGTGCGCTACTCGGTTTGTTCTCAGAGGCAGGAGCAGGGACAGGAACAGAAACAGAAACAGTCTCGGAACTAGCTTCGGCTTCCGTGTCTTTCTCCTCGACTACAGTCTCTGCTGGGGGATCTGACTGGGGCTTTTCTCGCTCGCCGGGGGAATCAGGTGCCTCCGGTTCCGGGTGTAGTTTGGCTGTTGATGGGACAGGGTTACTCTCTGGCAGAAGAGGATCTATGGCTGTTTGCCGCTCTTTCTTTAAAGCTATTCTGCACGCGATCTGCGTCGACCAGACCAGACCAAGGGCGGGTGTCTTCTGCGACGGTCTCTGGAAACCTGGGTATGAACTTGGGGCCAATGACTGCGGCGAGTCGCCCCATCCGGTAAAGAACCGCTGTTGATGCAGCAGGCTGAGGATCTCACTGCGCACCGGGTTTCCCACCAGGTATGAGCCGTCGAAAGGCTGCTGTTGCGGGTCTTCTTCGGCGGCATACGGTGAAGATGGGAAGGGAGAGGGAGAAGATGGGGGCATAGCATTATGCTGGAATAATTCGACGTTGCCGGACTCGGTTGCCCGAACCCTTGGTAAGGGGGACGCAGTGCCTGGCTCGCGGGCGGATGGGAGTTGTTGTGGTTGAGTAGAAGGGGATCCGTTTCCTGGTACACCACCTCCTATCCTTGGGAATCCTGGAGGACCGTCCATGGCATCGAATCGATCGGAGACTTGGTTCGCGACCACAATTGCGATGTCCTCCTGTACCGCAAGATTGCGTAGCATTTGTCCCAGCTTGGTGAGTTCTCCCGACCGAGTCGAGAGGCCTAGGATATTGTGAGCGGTATGCTCCGCTCGGTAGTTGGAGGTGATAGAATCGATGACGACGAGTCCGACGTTGTAGCGTTGAATCGCGACGGGGAGTTGGTAGTTGAGTATGTGGTCTTGAGACTCGAGGTCCATGGCATTGATGGATAGGACATTCTCGAGCGTCGGGGCACGATCACGAGGCAGGGTCGAGAGGTACGGGTGCGAACCAATGAGCTGGGAGAGCCGTGGCGTCGACAAGGGAGCCTCTGTAGAGATGTAGACGGCATTCTTCCCCAGGCCGTGGGGTGAAGGAAGCTGGACGGCCAGCAATAGAGTGAGGAGAAATTGTGTCTTACCACTCCCACTGACGATGCGAGACTGGTTAGTCCAAGTCCCGAAGCTATCGCCCATGTAGATGCACGCACGTACCTCTCGCCAGTCACCTCCGTCACATAGCTAGTTGGTACCCCGCCGCCCAACAGCTCATCTAATGCGGTGTCGAGAGTGCTGATCGCGCTCCATTGCGACAGGTCTAGCTTTGTCGTGGGTCCCAGGGTAATCGGCAGGTCATCATTGACACTGGAGCTCGGCTCGGCAGACGCGGGCTGATTGATATCTTCGAATCCGATATCATGATGGAGCGCCTGGATGACGCTGGCGCACAACCGACGAACATCGGCTGGAGGCACGTGGGCGCGTTTCGCGATCTCAAGCGTATCGAGAGTGATGAGATCAACCGTGGTTATCTTGCTTCTCTCCAAAGGCGGAAGTATATGCGCATACGGTTTTGTATGGAAGTCCGGGAGGACTGATAAAAGATCCATATGCGTGGAGGTCAAGTCGATAACTCGAGATTGTCATCCAAGTGGAAAAGACGCGGGAAGACGTGTGCTGGAGCCGACTGGCCAATCAGGGGAGGCCATTATAGATCCTCAGTGACCAAGAGAATATCATACCAATTATACAACGTAAATCCAATACAGCCATTTATCTGGATGGTGTACATTTCTTCATCGGTTCAGGATTTGGATAACTGAGAGAGAGCTAGCAATAAGTCCATCTACAATCTACCCCTCCTCCGTCGCCCACGTCGTCCGTCGTACATTAGCCCTAAGAACCCCCTCTTCCGTCGGCTCTGAGAAAGCAATGAAAGGTTAAAGAATAAATACAAAGTGTATCAGATCATCAGAAAACCAGGTCCTTCGATGCAGAGATTATAATACACTGCTATCTTTTCTAGGGCCCTCCGTCTAGAGGCCTATAACAATAACTCTGCCTCAGGCATCGTGTCAAGACCAACACAATCACTAGGAACTCCAAGTCCCATGTATGATAGACCAGATTACTGGAAATGAGGATAGTACTATATCAGTCACGGTAATCCACATCAATAATATGAACCAGCTAATATCATTTTCACTCGTACGCCCATAAAATGTTCCCTGCCAAGGTATGGCTGGTTCGGCTATGCGTCTCCCTGACGCTTAATTGGCAAACATTCTTGGAGGAACTGCTTATAGTCTTGTATAGCTTGTTCGAATGCTTGACCATAGTAGATTTCAAAATGACCTACATCATACCACTTGATCACTCCTTTGGGTGCTGTTTTCGCATATGCCAAGGTTGTGCCTGCAGGTGCAACTGTGTCTGGGCCACATATACCAAAAAAGATTGGACATTCAACCTTGGATGCATAAGAGCCAGGTCTCAGGAGGGAAATCTTTAAAGCCAGACGAGCAGGGACTCTGTCCTGGAACGGATGACCTTCTGGGATAAGTTTTGGAAAGGTACTGAGCACGTCTGCAGCATTCATCAGAGCCGCTATAGTAGGTTTTAGCTTCTTTAGTTTCATTTGTCCGAGGATAAGCGGTCTTCACTTACCCTCACCTGGCTTTCCGGTCAGCGGTACAGTTATTGGCTTTTCGTCTGAGCCAAACAGAACGTCCAACAGACCAAGCCCTACCAGCTTCGGAGCGGCTGCAATCCCTGTACAAAGAGTACTTTGCCAGCCAGAAGTAAAGGGACATTGGGAGATGACTGATTTGAGCTTCTTATCAGTAGCGGCTAGCTGGATGACATGTCCCCCACTGAACGATGTTCCAAAAAGGCCGACTTGGTTCGGATCGACATTCTCCAGCTGACGTGCATACTTGATGGCAGATTTCCAGTCTTCTTGCTGCTGATGCCAGTCAATCAGACCTCTGGGCAGACCCTCAGATCCACCGGTGCAACGATAGTCGAAGACGACACATGTGTATCCCATCTGATTGAACCTGTCGGCATATACGTCGAGCTTTAGTTCTTTCGTTCCACCCAGGCCGTGGGCTAAGACGATGGCTGGCCCGGGGTTCGATGCGGTGAACGTCTGAGACGAGTAAAGCCATCCACACATAAGATCCTCTGAGGATGAAGCAATTTTGATATCCACACGACGTTCAATCCCTGCGGTGGCCATATTTAGTGTTGGAATATTTTTGCCTTCCCCCTTCTCCCCTTTCTAGAAGGGAGACGGCGACTTTTACATTGTCTGTCCAGGATCTTGAGCGCTCGCTCGGTTGATCACTATATCATCACCTCGGCTCCAGCTAGGAAAATGATACATTAGACCGTCTCCAAAATTCTTGGGAACAATGTATCAGCAAGGCCACTAGTGGTGATTTAAGTTTCTAACCGTTCACCAGCTGCGGCTAGAATGGATCTTGCGAGTCGTGTGGGGCGAGGACCTCGCAAGCAATACCTACTTAACCAACCTTGCGGCGTAATATTCGTCCGACCTGCGAGTCGGGTACTGTCCCCAGACGATATACTCCATATCTTTGCCCCCCCCCCCAATTGTTAGGACTTGTCCGAACCACTTTAGGCAGACCAGCGAGGTGGTACTGATGGTCAGTTGGAACATGTTTTTGCTCAAAATCCTTTTCACGGGTAAGGAGCCAACACAAGGCACTTCAATCAGCCTGTTCTCTGCCTAAATATTTTTAAGATGACTAACTAATACATAAATACATTCGCAAAAAGGTACAAGCGCGTCAGTGGTCAGTTTGAAGCCCCCCCGACTGGCCATTCCGTCACTATGCTTCATAGAAGGCCATCTGGGAAACCTTTGACCAAGGATCTCAATTGAGCAGAACACACAAGCTCTAAGACAAATTACGAACGCTAGGGACGTAGATAGCCAGGATCTATCCATGGCTATTCGTAGTAGTTGTTATTTTACCCCTCGGTATCAAGAAATCGGTCGTTCATCGATGTAGAAGAGTTTCCCCGCTGTATAGGGGGGATCGGGGGGTTAACATTCTTCACGACCGTACCTAAGACACTAGCATTCCACGCACGAGGTCATCGCTATCCTCAAATATGCGAAATCTTAAACTCACCAGTTGCAGTTTGGTAGTGACGTAGGATTATTCCGATAACGTTTATTATTCCTTGAGTAGCCCTCGGTCTGATGCAGTCCAAGAAGCCGGTACCGGCCAAGAGCATGTCAGGAAATACGTTTTGGTTCAGTATGGTAAGCTCTTCTCTCAGTGTCCGATGCCTACAGGCCTCTCAAAGTGACATGTAGCTAAGGTACCATGAGCAGATAAAATGGAGTTTTTGTTAGCATAGCTGAGAAGCATATATTCAGTTGGACTCTGGAAAGTCATTGTATCAGCAACACGGGCAGTTGAAGTCTGGAGTCGATCATCCGTCAGAGTCTTCCAAGGACAAGCCACTTGACACTATTAACGAAGGAAGGTCGTCAAATGACTCGGGTGAATCGATGATCGTCATGCATTCATGTCGTGAAACCGAAGCGCGGGTATGGGAATCAGTAGGAAGGATAGAAAATACTTGTATATATTGTATATCAAATGGCGAGTCGGACAAGATCAATGAACAAAGATGGGGGTTAACATGCTAGCGTGGGAGGTTTCAAACTTATGGGTAAAGAAGAGTCTAGTGCGGCAGGAGAGAAGTAGTATCCTTGCTCTTTTCGAAGTTCATACTTACTTTTATTCAGGTCTTAGCAGACGGCAAATCCTGATGATGCGTGGTCTTCTCAATAAGTTTGACCAGGCAGTATCTTTGCCTTTATGGGTCATGAACCATTCAAGCGCTCGTCTCTACAAATAGTATAATACTCGATAGCCGTCTAAAAGTTAGATGCATTGGTTGAGTAAGAGTACTATATGATCCTCTAAAACCTCATGCATCACTGGAGCAAGGATAAACATAAGAGATCCCAGGCCAGAGTCAAGCTGTTAAAGCGCCGATCAGGCTTTATTCCAGCGTCAGTCCCATTTCAGGAGATAGAGCTTGTACTTCCTATCGTGCCAGGAATCCTTAGGAGTAGTCTCCAACGCATCTTCCCAATCAACAATATAGCTAATGAATAGACACCATAAGCAAGCTGCACGGATTACATAATGGAGAAGACTGTATACTTACCACTTCCCGGCTCTATTGTCCCAAATGAGGTTTCGTTCTCCCTCGTCCAAATGTACTCTGCCACAAGCCATACACTCACTGCAAAACTGTATCAGATACCACTCTACAAGCAAGTAGGACCACCAAAAAACTCACATATATGCCTCCTTGAATGCTTTTAAAAGCCAATCCCTCTCCTCTTGATCCATTGGGTGCCAATAAGCGGGCGGTCTGACCCCTGGCACCCGCTCCATTAGGATATATTCGAGATATCCCCCGGGGACCCAGTCGGTATTGCCTTGGGTTTCGCGCGTCCAGCCTAGCAAAGCTGGGCTTGATGAACAGCCTGCTTGCGTTAGACATCGTAGAGCATCAATTTCAAACAGAGTCTTTTCGTCCATATTGTGTCTGGCTTGTTTTGCTCTCTCTTCAGAGGAGCTAGAATATGTTCCCATGTACGGGATTCTATGTCAGGTGTTAGACGCGGTATACCAAGTAAAGAGTAAAACACAAGTGCATAGAGATACGAAAAGAACCTACTGGAACCGAACTTTGACTACGGCCTCTTTACCGTCGCCATTGGTGCAAAGGAAAACACCACGTCCTTCAGCCCTGAAGTCCAACTCTTTCCCTTCCCATTCGGTGTGCACGATCTCGCGTTCATGAATTTTTCGAACAGTCCTCCATTTTGATGGAATGGGTTCATCAAACGTTATCTCGCGTCCTATCCATTTGTCGTCATCGAGCCATGTAATGCCTGAAGGCGGTGGCCCCGCCATAATGACTGGATAGTCATAAAATGAACGGATGATAAAAGTGAGCACTGCCCTACGCAGGGTACCAGAGGATAATCAACTTTGGCGCTCGCTGTGTTGAGAGTTGCGGAGTCTGGATCCACTGTTTGATATAGCCAGGAACGGGTGCCATGTTAGCATGTCTGGCGTCTGCGCACAGACGCCACGTGTGATGCCAGGACCCTAGATGCCTTGCTCCAAAGGCGCTTGCATTGCTTCAATGCCACCCAGATACTAGTACTAGCACCATGGAAAATCATTGGAGGCCATTGTTCCATTCAATTTCTTTGGCCTGATTGGCGGGCGCCTATCACTTGAATTTCACGAAATGCTTCCCTGGAACATCACTTCGAATGGCATATGTACCGTACTATTGTTAGAGCTGCGGGGCAGATGATTATTCACCAAATATAAGAAGATTTACAGTATCTCAATCCATATATATAAGGTCGATAGATACATGTAGCAGGCTTGAGGCCTCATCAGCTCCTACTCTAATAAAGGTGCAAAGCGAGTAGCTTACCACCGCACAATATCTCATATAGAAGGTGCCTTGGTGGGTCTCTCAATATCTGCCTACCAGGTCCCTACGTATGCTAATCCTGCATTACATCTAGGCCAAATCGCTGAATGAATACGCGGCAGAAAGCTCAAATACGCCTTTCTCACAACATACGATCAAACAATGTTTTTCAAGCAGGAACCTCATCCAAAAATAAAGGGGAAGTGGGTGCTTTGGCATTCGCCTGTGATCAAGCATACAGCGCACTCCCAGGAGATTTCAGGCAATACGAACCACTTGGCAAATCCTGCTCTCTATCGAGGAAGGTTTAGATTTAGATTTAATCTTGTACTCACAAAGTAACCTCCTTTGAAACAGCCAGTGCCCTACTCAATCCTGTTATACGTGTGCAATTTCATGACAATCACGGCGAACTGACCATATGGCTGATGTAGTGAGTGAGCATACCTGGCCCGGTTTCTATTTAGTCAGTAGTACTTGAAAAGAAGATGAGGGTAGTTAGAAGTCCGAAGTGATGGGAGAGGAACCTTCAATCGGTACGTTATTGCCTATTCTTCTCTTTAGGTAAGTCCTTGACGATTTACAGTCACCATCGTTGGTATCCACCCTCCTGGAACAATGTCTGTAACCGCTATGTCAGAAGACTGTTCATGCGATTTTCAAGACCTATCTAATCTATTAAAGACTTATGTCGGTAGGCCGAAAAGAGGAGGTACAAGAAACGCGAAGGGGGAAAATATTCAAAATAACAGGATGAAACAAACCACCAGGCTCCCAAAACATCTGTTATCATACGTCAAATCCATTTACAGGACATATCAAACCAAAAAGAAGAACGACGGAGAATATCTTAGGATTTAACTTTCCCCTCCCTTTCTTACGCACCATCAAAGACCAAAAGACTTTGAATCTTGACTCCCCCAAAGCCACGCCGCCGCAAAAAGTCCCGGCCACGGTGAACAGGGAACTCGGCCACGACCATGATGCTAATATCTTGAGCACTGACGCCAGCTTTATCTAGGAGCTGCAGCACCGCATATAGTGTGTTCCCCGTGGCAAGCACATCGTCTACCACCACCACTGACGCACCTCTGGGGATCAAATCCCGAGCCATCTCGACGCTCTTCTCTTTCAAACCGTTGGATGCCGAAGACGATACATTCGATGGAGATTTAACGACAGAAAGGGTGGGTGGGGGAAGCTTACCGGCTTCGCGAATCAACGCCAAGGGTACATCAATCCGCGAGGCTAACGCTGATGCATAGACGAATCCGCCGACCTCACAACACGCTACTACATCGACTTTGCCCCAGTCACCGGCAAAGTGAGACTGCAGTAGAGACGTGCACAGAGTCAGCCCACCTGGCTGCTGGCAAATGTCGAGCACATGGCGGAACTCAATCCCCAGCCGTGGAAAGTCGGGTACCCGGCGCACCATGTTGGCCAGTCGTTGCAGGTCTTGGTGGCAGAAGGGAAGCAGATAGCGTTCGGCAAACCTTTTGGCCGCCTTGTCACCGGTCGTATCATTGTGGAAGATAAGGCAGGGGTGGTACTCCAAGGCCATCAAATTCGACCTGCCATTGTCATTGTCCTTGTTGTTACCATGGTCATCACCGCCGTGGCACCCTCCGCGAGCCCGCCGCGTCTCTTCGCGAGCTTGAACGTGGACTTCGAGCAGTCTGGCATCTGGCACCAAATGCGAAAAGGCTGCTACCAGCGCCTCATCTCGCATCCCGGTGATTAGCAGCACGTCCACATCTGCAGCGCTGTCCACCACGCTCAGGAAATGCTCCTCTGGTAGCCTAGGTCGACGGCGCACCTGGTCCTGGAAGAATGCTGTCAATGCTGGCCGGTGCTGCTCCTTGTAAGCGCGGTCCGAGAGCAGACGGTTCAAGTCGGCATCAGTGGCCGTCGCGTATTCTCGCTTGGTCACATCGCTAATGCTGACCGCACGGGCCGTGAGAGATTTGTGAGTATATGCGAGGAACGTGGAGACCCAGATGTCGGCACAATAGTCCTTGCCGGCGCAGCTGTGGCCTGTAACAAGAATGATGAGCCTCTGCTCCAGCGGCGCTTTCGGGAGTGGGCAGGCGTAAGCTAGCACATTATGCGGGTCCGAGCGGTGCTTGAGACGGGCCAGGCGCGGCCGGTTCGGCCCAAAAGCCTTTTCCGCCAAGATGGCGTCTCTGGGATCCGGCCCAAGGTCTGCACCGTAAACACCGCTACTCAAGGGCAACAAGTCCCTGGCGACCTTGTATACCCACCGCTCGGCAGCTTGGGCGATCTCGGTCCCATCTTGCTCGCGCAGCCAGACACCAGTTATCACGCAGGCGAAATCCCAGTCTCGACAACCGAAAGCAGTGGCGTCGGCCGCCACGTCGCTGACCGCTCCGCCGCCGTGAAGCAGATGGACATAGCAGAATGGCGAAGGACGAGTCCTAACAGCCGTCACTAAAGTGTTGGCGACGTCAACTGCTCCGATACTTTTTAAGAATACACATCGCTTGAACGCAGAGGTCTTGCAGCCGCCGTGCCCGCCATGCATCTGGGACATGTACATCTCGGCCTCGAACAAACCGACGCTGTCCACAACCTCGAGATTGCCTTCTAGTCCGAAAATTGTGTCTGCATCCATAGGTGCAAGCGTGGGCATGGATGCTTCAGATATAAGCCTAGTCGTGGAAGATTCAAACATGGTCACGCCAAGATGCAGCCGACCATATTCCCAGTACAGATACGCATCTGCAGAACAGTTGCGCGGGAGTTTGCTGGCGATGAGATGATAAAAATCGCTCAGCCTTCGCCGCGCCTCGAGGTCGTCACTCATTGGGATAACCCAGCTTCGAACCAAGTGGACCGGAGCCACGTACGCCTGAAAGGTAACACTAACTACGATGCCAAAGTTGGTCCCAGCGCCTTTCATTGCCCATAATAGATCGGTTTCGTTTTTTGGGCGTACGGCACCGGCTGGGCGGTGTTGGCTTGGTACATGGCCGATGTAGAGAACCTCGCTCGAGTCAACACTGACTACCACGGCACCGATGATGGCATCGCACGCGAGCCCATATAACCTAGCCAGGTGCCCGATGCCGCCCTGTAGCCATAGTCCCGCACCGACGCTTGGGCGGGCCCCCAGGGGCACTGTCAGGCCGGCCGCCGTGGTTTTGCGGACGATATCTCCCGTCTTGCAGCCGGCCTCAACGATAACCAAGAAATCGGAATCGAAACTGGATTCTCCTCCATCTTTCCCAGCCGGGAGAATATGTACTTGGTCAAAAGCGCTCATATCTACTGAGACAACGTTGGGCCATAGGCAGTGGCCGCTGTGGCCCCCGCCAACGACAGTCAGACTGACATTGTGCTTCAGAGCCCATTGAACGCACTGCTGGACATGCCAGACCTCTGTGGGTCTAACAATTGAAGCGGAACCGTGGAGGCAAGCCTCCCGGTTCTTAACCGTCTTATCCTTCACCACCGACACCTGTACCGTCAACTCCGGCAGCATAGTTGCATGTTTGGTAAAGGCCGCCATGACGTTGGGAGAGTTAAATAAAAGGTGTTCTGGGTAAGCTTCTTCACGACGGCCTAAGGCGCGGCACACCTTACGCCACTCGACTCGGATAGCCTTGTTCGCCTCTGTATCCTGTATGACAAACCCCGCGACGAAGGAAGCGAAATTGTCCAGCACTTCGTCGTCATCCATCACGCGAACAATCCCAGTAGGGAAACAAGCTGTACGATGGCACGCTAATCCGTTGAGGCGCAGGGTCCCTTCGCGATAGAAAGCGACCACCATTCCGCCTTGGGGCGGCTCAACAAGCATTTCCAGCGCCTGTTCAATGAACTTGTCTTTGGGCTTTATGCCGTACATACTATGACAGAATAAGACGAGATCGAACTTTTCGCCACTATTACTCGTCCTGATACTGTCACCGCGCCTTATGTCACCGTTCAGAGCGAATGGCATTCGATGGATGTCGGGTGGGCTTGCCAGGCAAGGCAGCGGAGACTCTGTCTCTAAAGAAGGACAAAGCCATTCTTGCACCCTTGTAGCAAACAAGTCATTAGGCTCGAAGGCAGCGTATCTCTTGATCTTCTGTCTTAGACCGCGGGGCAGATATCCAAGCACGCTCTTTGGGCCAGGTCCAATTTCTAGCACCGAGATACGGACACGCGAGCTGACGAGAGGGGCTAGCAGCTGGGATAGTTGAGGAATAATGAAGTCTTGATACTCTGACCCCCGGGCCACGATATCGAAGCCAGCGCTGTACTGAGTGTCGGACAACGGCTGTTTTGAAGGTGAAGGCGTTGTTGTAGCTTTCTTCTTCAAGGCCTCCTTTAGGGAGTTTAGGGTAGCCATGGCGGTTCAGCACGAGTATGTGGATGGCGCAACTGATGGTTGATGTAGCGATGTCCTTTATGCGATGTGTGAGGCCACGTGAGACTCTTGGAGTGGAGTAAG